ATCTTTGCTTTAGCTGACCCGATTGAAAAGTGGACTTTTTTCGCTCTATTTTTTTAAGAACCAAAGAATAAGTTGTTATATGTATTATGTCCTGATCATTAAGATAATTGTTTTTTTGTTGTTTATTGAAAAAAGCGTTTACGTCACATGTGAGTTTCTAAAGTAGGTACATACAAGATCTTTCAGAACTCGCGCCTCAGCGAAAAATGCCAACTAAGATAAAATACTATCTAAAAGAATTTCGAAATTATGCGGGTTTAAATTTTTGACTATGTACATATTTCTGTTGGTAAAATAATTGTATATTTTTTTGATGCAGACTATTAGAAGAAGAAACGAAGAAGATGTAACCATGTTTTACATTATTTGTGGCTTTTATTGGCAGTTTTTATACCTTTACTGAATAATTATGAAAAAACATATAATGTACAAGATCATCGGTAACTAACTATAAGTAGACATAAAACAGGTCAAATATTATTACAACACAATTTTTGCTCCCGTAAAGTTAAAATTTACCTGTAGTTAATTGAGACAAAATCTGTGTTAAAATTAATAAAACAATGTAGGTTTGAACCAATAATAAGAAAGTTGCGATTTTCTTCCCTTTTCATTTTATAATAGAAAGTATGTCATTATATCAGTAGACAGAAAAATATTTTACTTTCCGCAAGACTTACTTCCTGGGGAGGAAAATAAAAGTGTTATAACATAAAAGCTCTATCATCATATTGATAATTTTTTCTATTTTTTTATAGATTATTGTGGAGGTTCTAGAAAAAAGTATCTGTTTGTATCATTCGAAATGTATAAAAAATATTTAATAGGATAAGGGGGTTGTCTTTGTTTTTAATTTATTTTTTATAAAGTGTAGAATAGTTGTTTTTTTGTAATTTTCGATCCAGTGTTTCAATATTTTCCTTAATTGCTTATGAGAGAATTGTAATTATTTTTGTTTGTTTAGTAAAAAAAACTACACTAATTATCAATTACAAACTGACCTAAATTATTAAAATTATGAAACAAATTGTTAAAGCAGTTACGAAAGTAGTTTTTGCTGAATTATAAATACCTGTCATCATAAAAATTGATAAGATAAAGACGGTGTACGTTAAGGCGTGAATTCTGGCCCTATACTATTTTAGGCAATATTAGAATCGCAGTGAATATTTAATTGCGAACTTTTAAAATTTATTTTTTACTAAGCGTCAAGGCTTAAAGCGGAATTGTGGGTTAGTTTGAAAGATAGAATCCATATTCCCAATCAACCAAAAACAATTTTCAATTTTTCAAAAGCATTTCCATCAATACTTCTGAAATAATTGTTTCTGAAATAGTGTTATTTTATCGCCTCTACCGCATGATTCTTTCCTTTATTGTTCTCTTTGATTTCCCGGAATTTGATCAATATTTTCTTTTTTTACTCAGATCGAAAAACCCCAGCCAGAGGGCTTATCACACCGCACAAGGGACCAATGGGAGATCGAGCGTTCTTCGTTGAAATTCGTCCGAAAATTGGGCCACGGCCAATTCGGCGAAGTGTGGGAGGGTATGTGGAATAATACCACACCCGTCGCAATAAAAACCCTCAAACCTGGAACGATGGATCCGAAAGATTTCCTCGCAGAAGCACAAATCATGAAAAAACTGAGGCATCCGAAATTGATCCAGCTCTATGCCGTTTGCACCGTCGAAGAACCGATTTATATCATCACAGAACTGATGCGAAACGGATCGCTCTTGGAACATCTACAGGGTAAAGGAAAAAGTCTGAAATTGCAACAATTAATCGATATGGCCGCACAAATTGCCGCCGGGATGGCATATTTGGAATCGCAGAATTATATACATAGGGATTTAGCGGCAAGGAATGTACTAGTTGCCGATAATAATGTAGTGAAGATAGCTGACTTCGGACTCGCCAGGCTTATAAAGGTTAGTATTATGATATTTAGAAGCACGCAAAAACGGAAGATGGGAAAAATTCAAGTAAGAGTTGGAGAAAGTGGTGGTTTATTTCAAAATTTGATTATCAAGAATTTTTGGAACGAGAAGATTGAAATTTGGATTTTTTCCAGTTTAGATGCAAAAAATTAGTTCACATTTGTTTTTTTTTTTGTAGAATAGAAATAAAAGAATTTAATAGTCGCATAAATAAGACCACAAACCGCAAAATTACTTTTTCGAAGAGATAAGAACAGTAGATGCGTCAGAAAGTGAAGTAGGCCGCCACGTTTTTGTGATAAAAATGCATTTAGGAGACTTTGATCATGTTACAACTATTAAACCTGTCATTGTTATGACGGGTGTGACACAATTATAGATATTTATTGTTATTAAAAGCTTTTGAAAATGATAATTTTGTAATATTTTTTATTATATGTATTGTCGAACAACTATTAGTCTGATATACACAAGTATAAACTTTTTCAATAAATATTAAGCTGTCAAAAATTTTAAGTTTTCATTTTAATGAATAGAAAAAATCGTGACAGCGACTTGTCAGAACTAACTCGTTGAAAAAAATTTTAGAATGCAGCGTGACGTCATTGGAAATTCAATTCGTTGCGAATGTAGGCTTTTAATAAGAGACGAGGCCATTTTTGAACACAAATTTATTTAAATATTTAACAATAGTCGGTGTGTCCATACTTATATGAATTGTTGTATTCACAAATTACTGTCTTAAGGTAGTCAACTGCTTTAAAAAAATTAATCATTTACATAAACATTGAACATTGACACATTTTGCGTTTTTTATGAACGCAATATTAAGTAAAATTTTGTGTAATAATAACAAATCAGCACTAATAAAAACACTTTCCGATTTAATTCTTAAAGAAAGAGTGATTTAACCTTGCTTTCAAGTTTAAATGAAAGTACTTTTTATTGTATTATGTTATAGGAGTAATATCTAATTAAAAAACGTGTTTACGGAAATTAATTATGTGAAAAGTTTGGTAGCTTCGTTGGCCGTGACAAAATAATTTGGTTTATCATGGACGTCTGCGTCGATCATAAACGTTACTTGTTCGGTTTTTATGTGCCGTTTGTGACCTCATTTTGGTCATAAACGAAAAGTGACCTACATTTAACGGTGTTTGTTGTACAGGAAGATGAATATGAAGCGCGAGTCGGCGCAAGGTTTCCCATAAAATGGACAGCTCCTGAGGCGGCCAATTACAATAAATTCTCCATAAAATCAGACGTCTGGTCATTCGGTATTCTCCTGACTGAGCTCGTCACATACGGCAGAATACCATATCCTGGTAAGATAATTCTATTGGTCTGAGAAAATGTTGATTGTCGATTGTTTAGGTATGACCAATGCCGAGGTGTTGCATCAAGTCGAGCATGGGTATCGCATGCCGTCGCCACCTGGCTGCCCCGCCCCTCTCTACGATATCATGTTAGAATGTTGGAACCGTGACCCAATGAAGAGGCCGACGTTTGAGACGTTACAATGGAAATTAGAAGACTTTTTCACCATGGAAGGTTCAGAATATAAAGAAGCGTCAGCTTACTGAGGTCACGCCCACCCCCCTGCTGATTGGCTGCGTAATTCCATTGACTTACACTACCATTAGTGGGGAGGTGGATATCTATTTCTATGTAACAATAGATAGATATGCCCGTACTCTTTTATTTCTTGTCGTGACTATGCTTGTATTGAAAAATAATGGTTTGTGAAGTTTTATCAGATTTTTTATACTTCTACTCACTATCACAAACCACTATTTTATGATTTTAATTTTAAAATTTTGCTTCCTTTTATACATCGTGAATTGAGCTATACGTTCTAGCTCATCTAGCTATATTTAAATATTCTTTATATAATATTTTATTTTAAGATTTATGAAATTTTATAGAGAAATTCGACAACGTTAAATTTTTTCCCGATTGAAACTTTTAAACGCACAATTCGTGTCTACCAATAAGAAAGAAACGATGTGTAATTGTTGCTTGTGCATATTACCTATTTCCCCTTAAGTACTTACGCTTTTGCATTTATTTTTAAAGTCGAATAACATTCCTCTAAAGTGACTCTATCTGATATCTTTAGCGTTATTTCCCAGAGACCCCACAGTTATTAAAAAGTCGGTACTAATTTATAAAAGGCGTTGTTTGTTGTTTTAGTCACAACTTATGTCTTCATTATTTTAAGATTGTTATTAAAAGCATTGTTTATACAGTTATAGGCCATTATGAAAATATTTTTTGTATTATACACTTAGGAATATACAATAAAAGTCCTTTACAATTTTTGTTTTGCAATTTATTCAAAGTAACATCGGGGTTAAAAAATTCTGATACAGTATGCTACTATAGAAACTTTTTGTAATTTGTGTTGTGTATGGAATATACCAAGTGGGAGTTGAGTATTTGCCAAACTGACATTTTTAAAACTGAAAACACAAACAGCAAAAATACTAAACACTTGGTTTTTAAATCAATAAAAATGCAGCAAAGTAATTTTTTAATGTTCACTGAATCACTTATTCAAAGAAAGTATTAGAATTTATAACTTTAACTATCATTTTGATATGTGCCATCATACAAGATTAAAATAGCCAAAATGTTACCGTACAAGTACAGTGAGATCAAAAATTTGTCCATCAAGCAAGCGTATGTCTGTGGAAGTTAAAGTGTCACAATGACAAATGAGAAATGTCAAAATATTTTTTTTGTAAATTATTATAGGAAACAGTGGTGAACGATTTTTATGAATAAACACCAACAAAATCTTATTTTAGTTTGTTTTGAGACGTTTCATAGAATAATTCAATTTAATTAGCTCAATGTTTTAATTTTTTGACATCTAGATAACATACGAACTGCCATGCAACATACGTCAACTAGGACGCCTACTTGATAGAAAGACTTTTTGATCGCACTGTGTTATTTGACCGAAGTCACAGATTAGCAAGCAACTAATCTGTGCCGAAGTGATAAACATATAGGGATTTAATCTTATATGTTGGCAATGGCCCTCTATAACAGCTGTCAGGAGTTAGGAGTGTCAAGTGTCAAAAGTTTGTCAATCTTTTAAAAAGATGCTTCGAGTTTTCTAAAGGAATATCGAAAAATGGACCACATTTTTACAATTAATAAAAAAATTAATAAATCAGTGGACACCAACAAGCATCTATCATTTACGAAGTACCACACAAACAAAAGTTAACTTTTTTCCAACCGTTTGAATTTCAGACTAGAAAAGTCAACCTTATGCTCAATTTCAAGCTCCAACGTCGTTGCTTTCAGCACGGATTGCAATATTGAAGAAGCCGGTTCACTGTTTAGGAACTCTAATGTCTACGTTTGTGATTTAAACAGTCCCTGGCAAGTTCATAAGTACGTCTCCAAAATAAACTCTCTCCACTATTATACTCCCATTTTCAGAATATTATCAAACTCTTCACCTGTTTCTGTTCTTCAGTGGGACTTTACAGGCGACCTTCTTCTAGTCGCGGATGAGAACGGCTCTATAAAGATCTACAAAGCTAAAGACCACATACTAAACGACTGGACGCTAGTCCTCCAGACTGTCCTTGAAGGGGAACATATTTTGTCAGCGGCGTTTTTCCACTCTGGGAAGAAAATTTGCCTCAATTCCGAGAAAAAAGACAGCGCTTTGTACACGGAGAAGTTCCACCATGTCAAATTTGCCTGTTCTGTTAAACAGTTTGGGGGGCGTCCTGCTAGTGGGGCTTTGTTACTTACAACAACGGGAATGTTATGCTCGATTTTACTCCCTCAAAGTACAAGTCAGGTCTCTATGGTTATGGCAACTGAGAGTTTGGCACCTACAAGGATTTTTATCAAAGCTGCCGATATTTGCTATGGCAAAAGTAGGATTAAAAAAAAAAACTAGTATAGAATTAATCAATAATGTTACTTTAGACGGCCATTTTTTGCTCGCTGTTAGTAACGGAGATTTATCAATGCCTATTCAATGTTACAAGGTGTCTGTGAGGAAGATTGAAGATAAGTGTGTTATCACAAGCCAATCTCTACTCAGTTTTTTCTTATTTGAGGCACCGAAGGAAGCATTGAGTAACAAATTGCGTCGTTTGAGTCGTAGTCTAACGTTTGTTTTTTAGTGGAGCAGGTTTCCAAAGAAAAAAATAGTCACATAAGTCATATCAAATGGATAATGAGAGAAGACGCAGATTCTGTGGTGGTTTCAGCTACAAGTGATAAAATAAGTTGTTTGCAGGTGTGGGAATTAAGAGAAAAAGCTTTACCAGTACATAAATCACTAGGAAAATCTGAAACTCCTCAATTTTTCAATACTGTTGTATGTTTGCTAAAATATAATCAATTGATAAAACGATTCTAACAGTATTTTTCAGTTGTGGCAATACCAGTGTCACTTCCAATACAACAGTAAAGTTACATCATTAGCTACAAGTAAACTAAGTTTACTAAATAACGTTTCAAGCGGGTATGTCGTTGCCACATTTGCCGACAATTCCATCCATTGTCTGTACAGAGACACTCTAAAACATCTCGCCAACATTACGTTAACCATTTGCCCGCGTTATTTTGACGAACCTCTCGCTAGATATCCCAAAACTAGTATCAAAATCTCGAACATTGACATGTCCTTGCTCGGGAATATTTTACTCGTAATTGATTCAGATGATAGCCTCCATATGTTTAAGTTACCACCCCAAATCGATAGCTCAACACCTCTAAGTGTCCCTTATTGTACCACAATTTTGGAATATTGTATGATGAGCGGTTTTGATTGGTTAGACTTATTACTAGTGTTAAGACCTGGGATGTTAGATGCGATATGTGACAGACTTACCGAGAGTTTTAATCGACAGCCTTCGGCGGTGCAACAATTTTTCTACGTGCAATACTTATGCATGAAAATATCATTGTGCAGGTAGGTTCCTGTTGTATCGACTTGTTGGGTAAGTTATCATTTTCAGATTGAGCGTTCAAGGTCAAGTAAAGGCCCATGATCTCGCCCAATTCCTGATGCTTCACAGCATATCTACAGCTTTTAAAAGTCTTCTAAGGCCAAGCGAGATGAGTAGTCATGATAAGAGTCCTGCAGACTCGTTAGCAAGTGAGAAAATTCTCCAAATTAAAGTTTGTTTTTCTATATTTTTTTAAATAATTTTTAGATGTAATCGCTGAAGGGCAAACCGATGTGGACAAGGTTTTAATGCACCTCGAGGCGAAGGAATTCACCGTCGAGCCCTCAACTCTCCAAAGTTTGCAACAACTCATCCAGTGGGTGGCCGATTTGGCTCTCAATTTGCTGGTGAAGTTACCAGATAGTCGTCCTTCCATGGGAAAGCTGTACGAATTGTTACGTGATGTCAAAGCCTTAAATATGTTAAGGGAAATGTTAGTTTTGATACGAATATGGGGGCTGCTGAGGCCGGCATGTCTCCCAGTTTTTATCAAATCTGATGGAAGTTTGGATGTTTTGGCTCTTTTGTTCCGATTATTAAGCCGATTGGTCCAAAACGTGAACGAACCAGATGATACTCTGATTGGTAAGTAAAAAACAAACTTGATCTAACTCTATTTTATCAGAATAGGAAATGTGATAACCGCTTCCTTTGAAATTTTTGTCCGTTGGTTATTATTCCAGTTTGAAACTCTCAAACAAAATGTCTATGTTTTTGTGTGTTAATTTTTTTCCGAAAAATCACAACAAAAATGAAAATCTTTCTGAACCGTTCAAATTTATCGGTTTCCCCCTTTATTGTGTTTTATTATTTATTCTGTACTGGTTTCTTTACTGTCCTTTAATTTTCGTCAAAGTGTTACATTTGAGTCATTATTTCCATTGGCCAAAAGAATGGCCGTATTATTTTTGGCTCGTGGCTCTAGTTATTTTTTTAATTTTGGTATCAATACTGGTGGTGTTATGGAAAATATCGCCTAAAGACAAAAATCAATTATTCGAAGTTAATTTTATTGATCATGAAAAACAGAAAACTGTGGAAGAACAGACTTTGCTTGTTGTTTATGATGAAAAAAAGAAACTTGAGAAGAATGAACCAAAAGAAGAAAAAACACAAATTAAAGATGAAAACAACGGAACACCTCTAACGCCGTTGACCCCTCGCGAGTTGTTTTTTTACGATTTAATAGAAAGTGCAACTAAATCATTCAATTCTTCAACGACCATGAAACAAAATCGCACAAGTGGTGAAGACATATCTCAAGAATTTTTTATTGCAAATGTTTCACCAACGAAGACTTGCGTTTCGAATGTTTTTCTGTTTGTTAACCCTGATAACGACCCAAAAACGGGCACGATTCAAGAAACTTTTAATTTGTAATTAATTAAATAAATAAAATATTTTTTACTTTGCTTGCTATTTGTAATTATTTTTAGACGAATGTTGCCTCTTACCTAGCCAAGTCCAAATCCAGCTTCTTCTACCTAGCAATAATAGGGCCGTTTTAGCGTCTCCACAACTCGTTCAACAAATTCTACCATTACAGGTGTGTTTTTTTTCATTGTTTTGGTGTTTTTCTTGATTTTTCTTGATTTTAGTTAGAATATAACAACGACCCTGAATGTCTCATGTCTTCCACCGACTCGGGGACAACACAAACAGTTGATTCAATCCGACATTTATATCTGGGGCGTACTCCTAGGGCTATTAAACAGTGTGTCAGATGTGGGGGTTCTGCAGGAACGATTCTGGTGACTCGGACGGCAGCAATAAGGGCTTGGGATCAGCGCTGGCTTCGCTCTTGCCAGTAATTATTATTAATTAGAGTAAAAATCAAATGTTATGTGGGATTGTTACAGGTGTGGGGGCCTTTGGAGGATGCAAGTTTATACATGAATGACAAAAGAGTCGCAAATGTGGTAATGATTGTGTAACAATGAAAATGATATAATTTTATATGAACGAGTTGTCTAAATAAAGATTCAAGGAGATTTTGTGTTTTATTGAATATTTATTAAAGCAAATGGGTGGCATAAAAGTTTTTTGAAGAAGTGTTGATTGAATGTGGTATTAACTTAATTATTCGAATTATCTGGAAACTCAGTGACTATAAAATTGACAAAAAAAATCATTGTTATCTGTTTGAATAAGTTTGGGGACATTGGCTTGGTTGGGTTGGGTTGGCTATACTGCGAAAAAATCAAATTTGTTGACGTTTGTCTAAAATGCCATTGCCAATGGCCGTCAGTAGTTTATTGTTTGATTTGTTGGAATGGTTTATGCAAAACTGGTAAAATGCCGCATTGACTTGAAACGAAATCGCTTTAAACGTGATTCGACAATCTAAAAATTTCTTTTAACAGTGTTGTGTATGTGGCAGTTTCAATTTTATTGTTAGACTGTACAGGCGGGAAACGACTCAATACTATTCGGTGAAATTGGGGTAAACTTTCGTTAATTTTTAATTAACATTTTCATCAATGGTGAGAGTTCTCAGGTTTAGTCTTGAAAAAAATGTCGAGAGAATCTTTAAACGAAGTATTGGACAAATTCGCTCAAGTCACTGTAGTTTTAGTTGAGACTTCCAAAATTAAAGAACAATTAGAAAAATCTTCAAGCGATGAAAAATTGCAAGCGATTATTGAGCAAACTGAAGTGCAAGTCAACAGTTTAGTCAAACACGCAACTTCTGTTAAAGAACTGTTTGATAAGAAAATGAAAACAGCTGAGAAACTCCTTGCAAATGGAGTTGATATAAATAAAAACACAGAAATGAATGATGATTTAAGTACGCCTGCAAATGGAGAAAATGAACCGGAAATGAAACCTAAGATTAAATTAGTTGATATTAACAAACTAGTGGAGCCTAGAGAAAAACCTGAAAAAACTGTGAGATTTGATGATACTGTTGTACTAATAACTAGCTCAGATGAAAAATCTGATGATGAGAAACTGACAGAGCCGCCTCTTATTGAGAGTGTTGGGAAGAGAAAAGCTGCAGCTAAAACTATTAAAAAGACAAGACAGTCGTTACAAGTTTGTACAAGTACAAGTTCAAGTTCAGAGTCTAGTGATGATACAGACTTCATAACCACAACAAAACCTAGAAGAAGTAAAAATCTAAATAAAACTACACATGAAAATAGATTCAGAAAGAAGAAAACAGTACCTATGAACAAGATCGTTTTGTCTGATACTGACAGTTCTGAAGATTTGGAGACAGTAAAACTGAAAAATAGTAAAATTAAAGAAAAAAAGAAACCAAAAAAAGTTGAAGAAAAGAAGACAAGTGACGAAGAGAGCGATAACGAACCTGCTTTTGACTGGAAAAATGACCCCAAATTTAAGTTAAAATGTTACGTTAAGCTTATTAGAATTCCCTGTGAAAAACTTAAAGAGCATTATTTAGGAAATCTGGAATTGCTGGAAATAAAAAAGTATGATGGTTTTTTATAACATAAACGTTTATATAACATATTTTTCTTAGATTGACTGACTTGAACTCGTTACATAAAAAAAGAAGAAGGTCAGGTTCCGATAGTTCAACTTCTAGTGAAAATACAAACAGGAAAAAACGTAAAAGGAAAACCACAAAGAACCAAGAAAATTCGGAAAAGGGCAACTCATCTGACGCTACTATTTCTGACCTTGATGAGGGGACAAATGGCAGTCCTTTATCTGAAGTTCAGAAAAATCCTGATTTGGCCAAAGGAAATTCAGATACGGAATTAGCTGAAGATGCTCTTGTAATTATAAGGAAATACAAAAAACCGAGTTTAGTTTTCAAATATTTTATTTTAGAATTTGCTTAATTCTGATAAGGAGGGTAGTGACGATAAAGAGGATACCCCAGGGGAGGTATTTTTTTACTATTGTTTATTTTATTTTTATCAAGTTTTATATATATATAATATTAATATTGTTGAAAAAATTACAGAATCCCGAAAATTCCGATGTCGAGCACAGCGGACAAAATACCGCAGAAAAGGTGAATTTCTAGTCAATAAAATTCTAATTAATTTAAACTGAATTATTTTGTAGGATATGGAAAATATGGAACATGTTCAACCTCCAGAAGGTGCCTCAGATGTGGTATAAAATGTTTTAAGAATGTTTCTTATTAAAAAAAAAATTCAAATTTTAGGATCCTTTACAAATTGAAAAGGAGAGTCAAAACGTTGATAAACCAGAGGAGGTATATTTTATATATGGTATGTGTCGTAGTATTGTGTCCTAATATTTTTAATTCAGGCACCCGAGAAGAATTCCACAAATGAAACAAACGAGAATGAGCAAGATAATACTGGAAAAGACGATAATGGAAGTGAAAAAACTAATGACGATCAGTCAGAAAAAGAAGCAAATGAAAAATCTGAGGAGAATTCAAAATTGGATGAAAACGTGAGATAATTAATTACTTTAAGACTAAATAAATTAATTTCTTTTTAGAAAGTTGAAAACAACTCGGGAAAAAAATGGCGTAAGGATAAACTTCTTACTTCCAAGCTTTCCAGCAGTGATTCAGAAGAAGAATTTGCGAAGTTTCGCAGAAAGAAAGAGAAAATGAATGAAGAGGTTGGCAGGTAATTTAATATTTATTAGTTTAAAACTGCAATGAATATTAATATATTTTTTGAAACCGTTGTGCAGCGATGACGAGCCAAAGCTCCCCAAGGACAAAAAAAAGAGGTAAAAAGGCTTACCGTCTTTTTAGTGGGATGCTTATTTTTCGCATTATTAACATTAGCATTAGTTCTTTACTAAACCCTTTTTTTTTCTAAATTAAGGTTTATTTTGTATCTATATGTTGTTATTCAATCTAATTATAGCTTCTAGATCCTTTATTTAAAACAATTAGTACAAATTATATTTATGTCAAATGTAATTTCTACTAATTGTCTTAAATAAAGGATCTGGAAGACTTTTTATTTTTTGTGATTTAAAACTTGACTTAACCATGTTTCAGGTTAATGAAAAAACGAATCAAAAAAGCGATTTTATCAGACTCTGACTCTGATAAAAAGGACAGTTGTGACGATTTTCAACAAGAATCTAGCAGCTCGTCCTCAGACTCAGAGGAAGAGAAAGAGAAAAAAAGAGAAGAGGAAAAGTTGGTTTTGTGAAATTGAAAACTCGTTTATACTTTTTTTTTTCTTTAGGTCAAAACCTGCTCGAAAACGAGTAAAACGGGTAAAAGACAGTAGTGAGGATGACGACGAAGAAAAATCAACACGTAAACAAATTCGAAACATTTGGGGGCGAGATTCTCTTGCTGAAACCACGAAACAAGCCGAAGCCGAAGAAAAGGAACGAAAAGCGCGAATCCTTGAAAAACAAAAGAAGTACAACCAAATCTACGAATTCAGCTCACAACTGAACGCAAAAGTTGAAAAAGTCGTTCTTGACTTTGACGAAAAGAACCAAAAAGAATTGTTAAAAGTGGATGATTGCTTAGTTTCGAAATTGAAGCCGCATCAAGCCAGTGGCGTCCAGTTTATGTGGGATGCATGTTTCGAATCCTTAGAAAGGGCCAAAACCACGAAAGGGTCGGGATGCATCCTGGCACATTGTATGGGTCTAGGAAAAACATTACAGGTTTCTATATTACCGTATTTTTGTATAAAATGCGAAACAAAAAATTGTAGGTCATAACTTTGAGTCACACTTTACTAACAAATAGTGACAAAACAAACGTGAGAAAAATCCTTGTCGTAAGCCCCCTTAACACGGTTTTAAATTGGGTCAGCGAGTTCAAACAGTGGCTTCCCGATTGCACTGAGTATGAAGTTTACGAATTGGTTTCATTCAAGCAAAATTACGAACGTCAGTATCAAGTAAAGAATTGGCACGATTATGGTGGCGTTTTAATTATCGGCTATGACATGTTTCGTAATTTGAGTAATCCAGAAAGTAAGCGATTGAGCAAAAAAATGCGGTCGGTATTTCAGGAAGCTTTAGTCGATCCAGGTATTGATGGGTATTTGCCACCAACTCGATACAATTTCTGTGTTCTAGGTCCGGATTTGGTGATTTGTGACGAAGGCCACTTGCTCAAAAACGAGAAAACTAACACAAGTATTGCAATGAATCGTTTGAAGACATTACGAAGGATTGTTTTGACGGGGACACCACTGCAAAATAATTTGAAAGAGTATTTCTGCATGGTGCAATTCGTTAAACCGAATTTATTGGGGACATATAAGGAGTATTTAAATCGATTCGTTAACCCCATTACCAATGGACAATATACCGATTCGACTCCCCACGATATTCAAATTATGCGAAAAAGATCACATGTTTTACACAAAATGTTGGATGGAGTCGTCCAAAGACGAGATTACTCAGTTCTGGAACCGTATTTGCCCCCAAAACACGAATATGTATTATTTTTGAGTCTTACAGAGACGCAAATAAAATTATATCAACATTACATGGACCGTTTTGCACGAACTGGTGACGGTTCGAATCGTACTTCGTTTTTATTTGTCGATTTTCAGGCCTTGCAAAGAATTTGTACCCATCCACGAGTGCTCCTCGATAAGAGTATTGAAATGAAGTTGGCCAGAGAAAAACGGGTAAATTAGGGAAACCAGACAGATTATCACAGCTAACTTTAATTTTGTTTAAGGATGATGAATCGGAAGAGTCGGAAGGCTCATTAAAAGACTTTATCAATGACGACGAAGATGATGAAACTACGCCGTCGTCGAATTCCAGTTCGGATGAAGGAGGGGAGAAAAAGACCGCAGCGCCAAAGAAACGCCTAACAAGAGCGACAGCCGCATTAGGTAAAATTGCCTTTTTTAAAAAATATGCATCTGTAGGTCCCTCTAATTTAAGCCAAAGAAAATGGGGAGCCGGAGGAAGTCGTTGCTCTTGAAGACCCTGTGAAGAAGGAATGGTGGCAAGAATATTGCGACGGTGATGAACTCAACAATATTGCACATAGCTCAAAATTGTTTTTGTTGTTTGAGATTTTAAAAGAATGTGAGCAAATAGGGGATAAAGTGTAGGTGAAATTTTTTTTATTAACATAATTTTAATTGTGGTTTGTTTCCAGATTGGTATTTTCGCAGTCGCTTTATTCTCTTAATATCATCGAGTATTTCCTCGGAAGAATTCATGACGCCACCCAAGCCGGTGAAACGGACTCTGTAGGGGGTTATAGCGGCTCATGGTGTCTCGGATTGGATTATTTTAGGTTAGACGGTTCCTCATCATGTGACAGTCGAAGTATTTGGTGTAAAACATTCAATAATCCTACAAACACTCGAGCTAGGTATGACGCGGACTGTAGACTTAACAAGACCGATAAACATTAATCATTTTAGATTATTTTTAATTTCAACCAAAGCCGGCGGTTTAGGTATTAATTTAGTTGCCGCCAATCGTGTTATTATTTTTGATGTATCGTGGAACCCCTCTCACGATATCCAGAGCATATACAGGGTGTATCGCTTTGGACAAACAAAACCGTGCTATATTTATCGTTTCGTCACTTTGGTAAGCCATTTTTTGTGAATTCCAATAACTAAAATAGTGTTCCTTAGGGTACAATGGAAATGAAAATTTACGAAAGACAGGTTACAAAACAAGCGATATCGAAACGTGTCATTGATGAGCAACAAATCGACCGACATTACAATCAGAATGATCTCGCTGAATTATACAAGTGAGTTAATGGATATTTTAGGATTTCCTTAATTTAGTTTTTTATAGATTTGACCCCAAACCTGGTGAACGACCGATTCCGCTTGTACCCAAGGACGTACTCTTAGGTGAACTCTTACAGAAGTTTGAGGACCGAATTTACAAATACCACGAACATCAAACACTCCTTGAGAATAAAGAAGCGGAGGGTTTGAATGAGGAAGAACGCAAAGCAGCATGGGAAGAGTTTGAAAATGAGAAGAAACAAAGACATAATTATTTGGGTAAGAATCGTATTATTTACATCATCACTTTTTGTGCAATTTTTTTGTAATAATAGCAGGTCTATCAGATATTGACGCCTTTTTCGGTAATTAATTACCTATTTAATATTTTTTTAAACGTATTTTTGTAAAAAAATTTTTTACTTTCAGGTAACAGTTATTTGCGCGCCGCTAATGTCCAAGTGGCTTTGGCCAATTTGTTAAGAAAAGAAAATCCGAGTCTTAACGAAACGCAAATTAAAGAAATGTTGCCAATTCTACAAAGCCAGATGCAAGAACAAGTCACGCGGGGCGATTTGACTGTATTATTTTTTGTCTTTGTTTTCACATTCAAAATAAACTCTTTTCCAGTTGTACAAACGAGTCCAGCATGAATTACAGATGGTTCAAGCCATCCAAAATCAGAGACTCAAAGAACAGTTCTACCAACAGCAAGCCTTAAGGATGCTACAACAGCAAAAAATGCCTCAACAACTGGCAACAGCGATGAACTACCAGAACGCAGCAAGGTAAGTGTTACAATTCGTAATTTGTTTTTTTTTTTCAGTGTTTTGTTCTAGTTGGTTGGAGCAGTACATGAATCAGTTGCCTGGCACAAGTCGTGCCCCACCGGTTTATAACCCGAATGACGTAATTGATTTAAATGATTAGTTATAAGAATTCGTCTTTATGTTGTGAAAGGAAAGATTCATAAGTTTCATAGCCCAAAATTTTGTACATACAATTTTGTTTTGTTATTTATCTATTTAAAAAAGTAATAAATAAAACCCAATTTCTACACTATTGTTTATTTTTCTTTTTATCGGATAATAAATTTAAAATGTTGGGTACTTGTTTGAGGAGGTCTTCAGCGGAAATTTTATATTCTTGGTCTGTCCAGTAGTTTCGTAATTCCGATATGACTAGACCCATTTTTCGGCCACTTTCAACGCCAACTTCTTTAAGCATATTTCCGGTTACCGGAAATTTGGGAATTGTCCAGTTCTGAAATTCTTCCAAGTGTGGAGAGTTTATGTATTTTAAAACTTCAATAACGTGTTGGAATACATTTTTGTTGTTAATTTTTAAAACTAATTGTTGGTAAGGCATTAAGGGTACCACGTGGGGCTTGGGGGCTCGATGCTCGGTAATAAAAAGAGCTAAATCGCGCTCGAAAACTGACAGCTTAAGCCTCGAATTTAATGCAACAGCATCGTCTTGATTCCGCAAAGTGGCAGATAACAGAGTTACTGGATGTAATTTTAAATGGGCACAGTTTTGCCACACTTTTTTCAATTCTTCTAAATTCGGGTTTTCAGGTAACCCTATATAAGTGCTTAGTCCACAGTCTATTATTTTAATTAATAAATCACCGGCGAAATTGCCTTCTAGTATTTTCCTCAACTCCATCCAAATTCTCTCTCCCGAGATTTTCCCTAATCCCTCCTTATTCTCCCTAATTGCCTGCAAGGTCGCCTCGTCATGTTTATCTGGTTCTTGCGAAATTTTCCCATAAAATCGAAAATACCTCAAAATCCTCAAATAATCCTCTTTGATCCTCGTCGCAGCATCCCCTACGAATTGAACCTTATGTGCCTTCAAATCTTCATAACCGTAAAAATAATCATAAACGGCTCCCTCAAAATCCAGAAACATTGAATTTATCGTCAAATCCCTCCTCAACGCATCCAGTAACCAATCCGTTGTAAACTGCACCTCAGCACGCCTTCCATCCGTCACTACATCAATCCTCAAAGTAGTCACCTCAAAATTTTCCTTATCATTAATTCTCGGCGTTATCGTTCCGTGTTTTTCTCCATTCATATTAATCATCCTCACATTTTCCGCTGTGAACATTTCCTTCATTTGCTCGGGCGTCGCAGTTGTGGCAAAGTCCAGATCAGTGGGGCGCACTCCTGATAACAAATCTCGTACAGCTCCACCAGCAATGCGAATTTCGTAACCGTACTGCTTAAACATCGATGCAAGAGTTTTCAACTCGTCTGTGAAAACTGAATGGAAATCGGGAGTATCTAACTTGAAAATAACCGGATTCTCTCGGCTTTTGGGTAAAGCCATTTTGCGCAAGAAATCGATACGTTCCACTTTAGTAAGACTTGCAAGGGGCTTTCTTGACAAGAGTCGGACTGTCCGGGCAAAATGTAACACGCCCGGACGCACTAGAAACATAATTTGAGCCCCCCTCAAAAAAGTGAGGTTAAATTACGGTGGAATGACAATGAAACGTTGCCAACCTCAGATAAGTTATGTCCCGCACAGCGAAGTGATCAACAGTAGCAACAAAAAAACATAATATTTGAAAATGAAGGAAACAATAAAACAGGATTAGACTTTTTAAGTGCAATATTAGCAAACTGTTAATTTTTGTGCCAAAATTGGGTATACTTTATTAAACGTTCATGTTCAGATTGAACAAAGCAACTTCGGCCAGGGATACCAACGTAAACTAGGTTTTTTTGAATTTCTAGTTTAAAAAAAAATTTTTTTTGTCATTATTTTACTTACATAGAAAAGTGTACCAACACATCCTAGGATTTCATTTTAACAATTAGTAAATGATTGCGGCACTTTTCTACCTCCTTTTTGGTGTTTTTATTGGGTGAAAAACTTGACTTCTAGGGCCCTCAAAGTCGTGTTAAAAACCTCTATAGACGAGTATGGATCTAGTCACGGTTTAATGTAACGTGGACTAAACCCACAATCGCCAACACAGTGTTTTCATTTGTGTTTGGGGCCACTTTTGATGTAATTCTTTTGTTGTGGTGTGAAACTTCCTTAATGAGTGTGGATCTAGTCACGAAGTTGAAAAAAACCGTGCCACTAGACCCGAACCCATCAAGAACGGATCAAATTCTCGCTTGTAAAAAAATCTTACCGAAAAACCTGATAAAAATCGTGTTTTTGTTGACAGAATTTCGATTGAGGTTACCGTTTATTCCGGTCGAAAAATCGGGAATCGGAGGTTGTTTACACTTGGAGAACAAGGGAATAGAGTTCAGGAGTGCGCCGCACGCGGCTCGAAGTCATCTGGATAATGCAACAGGTTGTTGTTTATCTGTGGTCTTTGGGAGAAGTCTTCGCTTGTTTTTGGCCACTCGCGACATTCACCACTCAGACACAAAACCCAAGCGTCTTCGACAGATTCAACAATGGCCGCTGAAGGATCGAACAGCCTTGAAAAGTTTCTGAGAAAAGTTTTAAGTCGTTTGCGCAAGTGCGACATATCTCGATGTGCTGTCGATAGTTCCGTCTTGTTCTGATATATCTGTCTGAAAGAGATAAACAGATGGAAGTGGTGACGCCGAGATCGGTCATGCGAAACGAGAAAGGAAGAAAAAATGGTGGCAAAACTTTTGGATTTAACGAACAACGGTTTGACCGCGGGCTATCTCAGAAAAACACCCTTTAAACTCCCTCTTTTCGCACCATACGATGAAATTTTTCTAAACGAAATGAATACGGAAACTATTTACCAGAAATTGACGCATTTTTCACTGGAAATCGTCGATTTTGCACAAGAATCGGCGAAAATTCCGACCTACCGCACGAACCGTTGTGATAGAATTCACTCGTCTGAACAAAAACTACCGGTAGAGGTTAGGTTTACCAATGGCGGGGGCTTTTGAGTGGATTTTTTACCGGTTTTCCCGAAGAAAACTTTTGATAAATAAAGCGGGAAATGACAACCGAAGTTACCCAATCTGTTACAGCGATTGGTTGCTAAGGAACATCATCTGTTACTGGATTTAAGATGAAGTCACATGATGTAGCGACATTCTCATTGGTGTCTCCACAATGGCGCTAGTTTTAAATTGTCTTAATATTGAAAAAGAAAATCTCTTGTGGAAAATGTCATTTTAATCAGTTCATCAGCTTTTTTAAATATGTAATGGTTTGCAACGCTTTTGTTTACATTTAATATCCTAAATGCTTATGCAGTATTAAGTAAGTAGTTCTTGCCATTGTTTTGGATAAAATTTTGTAATTTTCCCATAATCTTGTTCATCGCGTAAATTTAAATTTGGGGCGCAGCCTTTAACTTCATCAAGTCAAATTATAAATAAATATGATCTATGAGGTTAGCTCTTCAAAATCTATTACATTGTTTAAAAAAATTGAGTTAAAATTAGCAAAAACAGGCACAGAAAAAGCGGCATCATATAAAAAAATTCATAAAACGGTAAAAATTTTGCAACTATTTTTTTTTGTTGAAAATAGTATTCAAAAGGTGAAAGTTGAACCATTTATTTCTCAGAAACTATAAACATTCGGATAAGGCAAGTTTAGTTATTTAATTTATTTTGTACTCAATGTTAAAGAGTGTTTTTATCTAATTTCAGTAGATAAAGTAGTCTTTTATCGTCTAGTGAAATAAAGTAATTTTTATCTACTGTTTATATTCAGAAAATTCTGGTAGATGAGTACAAAATAAAACGAAATATTATACACGACGATAGAGTGACTTCTTCACTATCGTAAACTTAACATTTTCACTCGTAAATGTTTTTTTTTCTTTCTCTTTATCGTCTTGTATAATAAATAACTATTTTAGTTATTTAATGTTTTGATTTCTTTTGAGCTCTACTTATCATGATAAAGCTGTATATGAGCACTTTTTGTTATTTCATGTGGCGATTACGATTTTAAGTTCAGATTTTCATATAAAAAATATTGGTTGCGATTTAGCTTCAACGTTGTTAAAAACATTCGTAGAACATAGCGAACACCTCTACGGCTTAGAATTTTTAATTTATAACGTTCATTGTTTGATACATCTGGCAGATGATGCCAAAAAATTTGGAAAATTAGATAATTTTGGAGCGTTTTGTTTTGAAAATTTTTTAGGGAGGCTTTCTCGTTTGGTTAAATCTCCAAAACAACCTTTGATTCAAATTTTTAATCGACTTAAAGAAATCGACAATTATTACATAGGCAAACCTAACATTGAAATATATTGCCAGCCTCTGTCTGAGCACACAAAGGGCCCAACAATTTCCCTAGCATTTTCAAAGCAATTTAAAAAAGTTTCTTTTCAAAATTTTACCTTGTAAATTTTTTCCGATAGTAAGGCAGATTGTTATTGTTTTATTAATAGTAAAGTTATTGAAATTCATAATTTTATAAAAGAACCAAGTGGAGATATTGTTATTATTGGCAAAACGTTTAGTTCGTTTGAATCTTTATATAATTATCCGTTTGATTCAAGTATCCTTAAAATCTTTTTACTAGATAAATTGACTGACAACTTGTCATTTTTCAAATTAACCCATATAGAATTCAAATGTTTTGTATATCCCCTAGACAATAGAAAAGTTTGTTATCCTCTTATTCACACTATAACACATTCCACTTAATCCCACCCACACCAACTACCTTTTATTACATCATTATATTATTATATCAAATAAGTACCTTAACTTACAGATAAATGAACACACCACACTTTTATTTAAACACAACGCGTTTCAACCACAAAGTGGTCATCCTCAGGTGAGTATAACACAGGTACATAACTAAATCAGCAGGTGAAACAGTCAACAACTTTTTTCACAATTTTGCACAACACACCTACCTACACCGCACAGCATATTTTACAGGTAAAGACCCGTTGAGTATTTAGGATAGATTAAACACATAGTATTTAGGATAGATTAAGATTATTATACGTATATATAGTGTTGTAATGTTAAAAAGTGTACCAATAAATGTTTTTGAAAAAAATGGTTTATTTTTTATTACCATCGGGATTGGTATTTTGTTACATTAAAAGGACGTTTGTAGTACGTCAACAGGACGTTTATAGTACGTCAGTTTTTGTCCTATCCGTCATAACCTCGTTATAACATGACGTTTTTTTGACGTCGAAAAATGACGTCCTAGGTCTGTGACATAATCACGTCTTTGGTCGGTGAAAATCACGTCATTTTTTTGGGACTTTCGACGTAATATTGACCTGGCGGGTACGTCATTTTCACGTCACCTTGTTAACTGGGCACTTGTTAGAATATATGCACATATTTTAAAATCACCCTGTATAACTAAGAAAAATAATTATGTAGGTAAGTTTTTTTTTCTATAAAGCAACAAAACAAACTTTTATAATTAAGAAACTATTTCCTCATATTTTGATTATATATTATAATTAATTGTAATTAAAACCCAAATTGTGAAAGATACATAATTATCGAAATTATGACACTAATTGGCGATTAAGGTAATTTTTTTCTAAAGTGAAACGAACAATCATATTATTCTTTTATCAGTTTGGTGGACATTATAAGCGAATAATATGTATAGAGGCTGTCCCAGGGCTCCGTATTTCTTCGATTACTCTGACAGTAAAGAAGATAACGACATGCGGTTTCTTTTGGACGATAGACATTAATTTTTTCTATGGTCCATATTTACGTCATTATAGGTAATTTCTATATAGGGTGGTGCAACAAAGTTATATTTTTTCTTATGGAACACCCGATTTATTATGCGCTTATTTGAAAGAGTTTTTAATTCTAAGAATATCCATATTAGGTTTTGTATGGGTCTATCATAGACCGTTTATCATTTATGGGCAATTTTATGAAAAAAATGTACCACTTTTGAAAAATCACAACGCCTTTGCTAGAAAGAAAAAGTGAATAAAAAGAAATGCAACCATGTTTACTGTGTCTGGTCCTAAATTATTATGGTTGAAATTCGAACAATCTTATGCAACTACTGCAGAGTGTTGACATTCGCAAAATATCAAGTAACTTGATTTTTTCAAATGAAACACTCTGTATGTTATTACTTTATCGTGTAGAACTTTTAATAAACTTTCTAAAAAACCTAGGGTTTGGAGGTCTAAATTTTACCTGTTTTATTGTACACCCTTTAAACATACAAAATTTTAACTTATTCTATTTAAAAATCAAGTAGGTTTGCTCGTCTAAAAAAATGGATAATTTTTTAAAGTTAAGTTATCACCATGTTTGTTAGAGAATGTAGAATTATGTAGCTACAGCATGATGGAGCTCCTGTTCATTTTTGTAGCATTGTGCGACAATTTTTAGCAACAGATTTGTTAATCGTTAGATTAGAAAGGAAGAAACTATTGTCTGGCCATCGCGATCTCCAGATTTTAGTACAATTGATTTCTTTTTATCGGGGTGTGTTGAAGAGAAGGTGTATCGAACAAGACCCACCACTCTAAATGACATAAAGGAAAGAATAATTGAAGCCTTTATAATGACATCTCTGTTGAAATGCGTAGGGCAATCAAACTTTTCTTTATGATTTTTGAATATCTCCAATTGAGTTTTACTCAGCATTTCAATAAACAACAAAACAACCGGTTTTCTTAATTGATGTATGGTGATAACGTAACTTTAAAAAATTATCCATTTTTTTTACAAGAGGAATAAGTAACGCAAACCTACTTGATTTTTAACGCTAAATAGAATGAGTTAAAATTTTGTATGTTTAAAGGGTGTATAATAAAACAGGTCAAGTTTAGACCTTCAAACCCTAGGTTTTTTAGAAAGCTGATTAAACGCTCTACACGATAAAGTAATAACATACAAGTTATACAAATCAAGTTACTTGATATTTTGCGAATGTCAACACTCTGCAGTAGTTGCAAAAGATTGATCGAATTTCAACTATAAAAATTTAGGACCAGACTCAGTAAAAATGGTTGCAATTGTTTTTATACACTTTTTCTTTCTCGCAAAGTCGTTGTGATTTTTCAAAAATGGTACATTTTTTTCATAAAATTGCCCATAAATGATAAACGGTCCGTAAAACCTATAACATGGATATTCTTAGAATTAAAAACTCTTTCAAATAAGCGCATAATATACCGGGTGTTCCATAAGAAAAAATATAACTTTGTTGCGCCACCCTATATATAGTACTTACCAATATATGACGAAAATATTTTTGGACCATAGAAAAAATGAATGTCTATCGTCCACAAGAAACCGCATTTCGTTATCTTCTTTACTGTCTAAGTAATCAAAGAAATACTGAGCTCTGGGACACTCTGTATGTATAATGTATATCTAAAACAGTGAATCAAGTTTTTAAGAACACTTAAAAAGTAACAACTTTTAATTTGTCTTCTTAATTAAGTTACGTACGATTATAACAGACTAGCTATTGGTTTAATTAAATTACGAAAATAATTGGTCTCTGGTCTGCTCTAAATTAATATTCAATCTACTTTCATTCTAAATTATTTTTTCAAGTAGGTATCTAATTTAATACATGAAAAAATAGTAAAAAATATAGGGAAAATTATTTAAAAAATATAAAATGAAACCCTTCAATTATAAAGTTGAACACTTATATCCTTTTTTATTGATTCTCGCACGTTCCACAAGAGCAGTTTTATTGTCCCGACCCTGAAAAGCAATTAATTTAGATAATTAAGCGAAACGTATCCAATTTGAGATTTAACTCAATTTTATTTGACCAAAAATTGAACCAAACTTGTCAAATTTTTAGCACAATAGAATCCAATTGATAACATTTAATTACTTATGTTTACTACGCTTTGTTAATTAAATTTTTTTGAATTGTTAAAAACTGATTATCATTTTTCACAAAAACCACTCCTCAACAAAACCCCACAGCCATTCCCACAAATAAATTAATTGTTTTTTCATTTCCCATTGATTTCAAGGTCCACAAAACATGGTTAATAAAGTTAATTACAATAAAGTAAATACATGGGAGGAGATAAATTACTAATTATCAGTGCGACAAAGATGCCATGATAGGTTTAGCATTTATCAGAGAGAGATGCAAAAAGCCGCCATTCCTTAATTTAATGGAATCTAATTAACTTGGCGTAGTATCGACGAAATTGCAATCAGTACGCGCGGTGAACGTCGAAAGAGCGTCATGAGACTCCAAATCGTCCTAAAATCGCCCTAAAAACCCGTATTTGGCTCAACGTGCTTGAATTTCTTGAAATTCTAATAATTATAAAACTAACCTCAAAATTAGTCATGGATCATGCCAGATTCATAAGTGTTGTCAAGCAGTTCCCGCAAGTGTGGGATCGAAATTGCGCTACTTTCAGGGAGCAAAGCCTAAAAAGTGAAGCATGGGAACGGATCGGCGAAATTATGAATTGTCCAGGTACAACAACATAATTAATTAATTACTTAATTAATTGGACGTTTTGCTAGCTTCGTCGTGTAAAGACACGTTCAAGAGTTTGCGGGAGAAATATGTGAGAGAAAGGGAAAAACAGGCCATGTATGCGGATAAATACATAGCTTGGCAGCATCTGGAAAGCCTATCTTTCCTGGACCCCCATATCATCCTCAGAAAGCAGTCTCTGAACTATGAGGCGGACATGTCAAAGGTACCCCTCGACGAGGCTAAAATGAACATGGCGGATGAGTCATTTTTCGTTCAACTGGCGGAAAATTATAGCGATTTTGACAAAACTTTGATAGCGTTAGTGCGCAAGGCGAGCCCCATTTGGGACCGCAAAAGCAACGGTTACCCCAGCAAACAGGTGAAATACCAGCTGTGGCGAGGCATAGCTCAAGCCATGAACAAGGATATCAATGTTTGTATGATGCGCTGGAAAGGGCTTAGGGAGAAATACATTCGCCAGAAAAATAAGTTCCAAGAAGGCGAAGGCAAGTGGGAGTTTTTGGACGACATGTCATTCCTGGATAAGGTGATCCAATACCGGCGCAAGAATTGCGAGCCGGATGTGAGCTTTCGTCCCCAGAATGGCCCCACTGAGGGGTTTCCGTTTCACAATGATATGTATGATGACAATTCGGTGAATTCGTCGTCAAACGATTTTATTCCGGCTGTAAAAAGTGAGGATTTTGGATGTGATATGCAGGATAGTTCCTACGATTCCGGGATGGCTAGTTCCGGAAGGAAGAGGTCGGCAAGTGACAATAGCGAGTCGTCATACGAAAAGAGGGAAAAAGTCGAAGAGATTCAAAAAAGTCCCGAAGTTATGTTTGGCGAATTGGTGGCAGCAATGCTTGCGAAAAAGACTGAAAGGGACAAAAATATAGCCATGATCGAAATTATGAAGGTGTTGACCAAGTGATGGATCTCAGAGGGTATATTTTCTCGGAATAGTGTTTTGGATATTATTTTTTACATTTATGTAATTAGCGTTATCTTTTAATGACTGAATGTCGTAACTGTGTAAGTATTTCTGAGTGTACCAATTGAGTTTTTTTATTTTGTTATGAATATAATTATTTTAGTTAAAAAATATAGCGTAAATGTTCAATGCGAAATAATTTATGCCATTTTACATTAACTAAATTGATATATGAATATGTGTTTGCCTTTTTCTTCTACAAATTTATAAGTTGAGACGAGTGTACTCGCAACGTTAAAATTTTTAGATTATTAATTGCTCCCTCCACTAGTATAGGCGCTGATGTGATAGTGACTCAAAAGCACAGTCATTTCCCATTACGAATCAAATTTAATTAGTTTCGGAATGACATTTGCATGTCTTTACTTTCACATTATATTGAAGCGATTCTTGACTTTTTCGCATCGTCTCTCTTACATATTTTGTGTCTTGTTCTTCTTTTTGTTTATCCAGATAGACATCTACGCCAGGGCCCTCGTTCTTACACTGAAAGAAGGACCGCCATTTTTTGCATTTCTAATTTATTATTAATTACTTCATTTAGTCTGATAACATCCACGTGTTTAAAACAACTACTGTCTTGCGTCTTGTTATAATTCTTAATACAGCAACAAAAGGCACAAATGTAGACACATGCGGCCAAAGGATACGCCAGGAAAAAGATCAAATTTAGACAAAACTCGGTTCTCCTGGAAACACTGTTTTAAGTTGGATCCAAATGTGTTCGTGTTTACTTCGGCAAAACTCGGACGCTCCGTTCTTGAGTGTCGGGATGAATCGGCCATCCCCCAATATCGTATACCACCGGTCTTCTCTCGAGTTCTTTCTCTTGGTACCGGTTCAAAGGTCGCGGGAGTTCAATCAAAAGACCTAGTCCGTACATACCAATCTTGTCCCAGCAACACAATCCGAGTAAACCTTTAAGCATACCTATAATTCGAATCACAACATTTGGATAAAACGCTGTCAATCAGTATTTACCCAAAGAAATCAGAAAAAACAGAAGCCCTGAAATGAAAATTATTGAAAGACTAAAGTTACTGTCGTCCATCGCTGGCAGAATAGAAGTCGAGGCGCTGGACTCCGAACTTTGACTAGTAGCATGGCCATGCACTCTACAATGCCGGTCCATACGGCCATGTTCCAACAAACCCATGTAAAAACCCTCCACCCCAGGCAATAAAAACACAAAAAATGACATCATCAAAACTTTAATACGTCAATGTCAAAACAAAAATACAGGAAAGTAATTCTATATAAAAAAGAGATTCTTAATCAAGTTACCAACGCCTGCCTCCACCACGGCCACGACCAGAAGGCCGCGAAGCGTCTTTTTTTTCCTTCCAGGTGGAATAACGATCTGCCATTTTGTACAATTCCTCCGGTACGTACTGTTGAGCTTCTTCTAAAATAGCAATTAGCTCCTTAGCTTGGCCCCAATCGCCTCGCGTGAAATAACTAATCGACTTCCCGGACTTTCCGGCACGGCCAGTCCTGCCAACTCTATGCACATACTCTTCTATATTCCTCGGAAAGTCGTAATTGATAACGTGACTAAAAAGCAGATTGTTACGAAACATACAGGGTGTTTCACATAATTTTACGAAACTTGCGCCTGTAAGATGCAATCAATAACATATATTCCGATACGAACTCGATTATAAATTTTGAAAAATTGGATAATTTTAGTTTGTTCACCCTTACAAAACTTACAACGTTTGTAGTTAGTTGGTGATTAAAATAGATAAACTAGAATCATATTCATGCAGTTTCTTGCTAGAACAAATGATAATTGTTTCTGAAAAATTGCAGTTTATGACTATTAATGAAACAGTGATTAGTTTGACAACTACTTTCATGGATTTCCAAAAGTTAAATAATGAAATGTGTATTTTTTGTATCTAGTGTTTTGTGACTTTTGTATATTTGGGTGCGTACATTAGGCGCAAGAATCGTAAAGTTGTGTGAAACACCCTGTATAAGTGTAATAGTTTAGACATATCAACGGTATAAGCATAGCGGACAGGTTGATTGTCAAAATTGTTAATCAACGAGTAATTGAATTTAAATAATGCTTACGTTATATCATCTATATCTAAACCTCGTGAAGCGACATCAGTCGCTATGAGTATTTGAACAGTGCCATCAGCAATATCGAGTAGAGCTTGCTCCCGATCACTTTGATCGCGATCGCCGTGTATTGTCTGACACTGTAAACCTGCTAAAGTCAATTCCGTCGACAATTCATCAGCGCGTGCCTTTTTTCCACAGAAAGCGATTACTTTTTCAGACGGGTCCAAATTCGTGGCGAAATTCATAAACTGAAAATTAATTAGCCAAGTTGCATACTTTTAACCGTCTACCAACCGTTCTAAACTTCTCTTCGTCATCGTCAGGCATCATTTCGATAATTTGAGTTACAGTATGAGTCGCGGCTAGGTCTAGAGTCCCCACATAAATCTGTATAGGGTCAACCATGTAGGACTGAGCCAACCTCCGAACTCCTGGGGGCCATGTGGCACTTGTCATCACAGTCTGTCTTGTAGGTCTTATACTATACATCACTTTACGTATTTGAGGCTCAAATCCCATGTCTAACATACGGTCAGCCTCATCGAGGACCACGTATGTGACATATTTGACCTCTAAATGGCCAGCCTCAGCCAAATCGTTGAGTCTGCCGGGCGTTGCGATAACTATATCGACTCCATCAGTAAGCACTTTGATTTGTTCCCGACGGTTACCGCCCCCGTAGATGCAAACCCTAAACAGAACAAAATTTCATTGTAATAAAATCAACTTCAAGGCTGTTCTAGTCAATTTCAACAAAGAATGGTGTTGAAAACGCTAGAGCGCCTTCTAGTGGTCTATAATTACGCTGTGATCCCTTTGTATTCATATTTTTTCACTTCTTTATCGATTTGAAGGGCGAGTTCTCGAGTGGGGGCCATGACTAAGACTGCAGGGCCTCCACGTTTCGACCTATCGATATTTTGGCCTTCAATATGAATCAATGCAGGTAACAAAAATGCTAAAGTTTTTCCGGTTCCGGTTTGAGCGATTCCGATCAAGTCTTCCCCACTCAGTAAAACCGGCCACGCCTGGCTCTGAATCGGCGAGGGTGTGGTAAACCCGGCTTTTTCGATTTCTTTCAAAATATCAGGGTATTTGTGAAACGCTTGTTCAAAAGTTACAACTGGTTTAGGAATAGGCTTACTATCCTCGTTTTTAAAAGTCCTTTCGACTACGATGTTGTTACTTTCAAGACGGAAGGCTTCTATTTCTTCTTCAGACATGGAAGCAACTTCAGGATGCTCGAAATAAAATTCTTTTTTGATCGGGGGCAGTGCAGCCCACTTTTCAGCTTCCATCTCGTCCTGAAAATGAAATAAATTGTAGTAAGTCATGAAAAGTTCTCAGTTGTCGCGGCTAACTTACACACTTGGCAAACACAGACCTCCAATCAACTATTTTGGGTTCCTCTTGGGTTTCGTCCTGGGGCGGAGGCTCTTCCTCCTTTACCTCCCTCACGTAACTCTCCCTTTCAATTGTCAACTCCCGAATCAAACTTTCCGCCTTTGAGACAGCGTCATTACTTCCCGAAAGCTTAATAAAAGTTTCATCCCCTTCTGTCTCTTTGGTAATATTAATTTTTGCTCCAGATTCAAACTGCAAATCATTGACTTTCGATCCGCCTCTTCCTATAATCCTCCCAACAAACTTCGATGGTACTTTAATTGTTGTCACATCGTCGTTGCCCCCACGTCGGGGGCCGCGATTCCCCCCTCTGTAACCGTTATTTCTCCTATCATCTCGGGGGCGGCGTGGCTGTGAATTGTCACGCCAGTTTGAGTAGTCGCTACTATTCGTGAAAACCTGCGTTTGAACAGGGCTTTCATTCCAATCGTCATACATGATGGTAGTTTTTTTCCGAAAGAGAAAAAATCAGCCAAAGTTTAGACCGGTTTGGTTTAAGCAATGTGGAGTGTTTTCGCTGAGAGATAACGTGAATTGGGGATAGTTATGTACCCAAAACGGGATGAAAATGGGTTCAAAGCTTTCACTTGTTGGAAACTGCGGAAAATTCAAAAAACACGTTCAAACACTTTTGGACGAAAAATGTCAAAGAGAGCGGAAAATGCCGCGCAGTGACGCCACTGTCGCAACAATTATACGCATGCGCATTAATTATTTAAAAAAATTATTTTTTTTACTCAAAAGTTTTAAACTAATAGAAAATAATATCTTATTATTTGTGTATTATTTTTTTTAACACATTAAGAACATCTAGTTTTATCTTTTTTTACTCAAAGAAATTAACGGCTTTTACAGAGTAAACAATAAATAGAAAACCACATCTACATAAGAATTTTATTGGTGTCTTTCCTAAATTCATTAAAATCGTTAGTCCAATGCGGATCTGTCAAAATCCGATTTTTTTTCGGCGCGTGTATCTGCAATTGGTAGCCTTGCACGTGCGCGCTAACTTGATTACGTCACTTTTTGCTGACGCCATTGCCATTTGTTTTCAGTCTCTTTCACGAAGGCGTTTCTTTGCATTTAATTTTGTAAATAGTCGTAACTTAAGGTAAAAACACCGGGAAGTCTCCTATTTTTATACTCATTTTTTTGTATCTTCCTGCAGCTCAATCGTCATGGGCGTCCAAGTCGATACAATCTCACCCGGCGATGGTAAGTTTTATCAAACATTCGTAAATTATCACTTGCCATCCCATTATCGTCGCTAATCACACGCAAAAATGCTGCAAATTGGTGTAATTAGCGCCTGGGTTTGGTTATCAAACCGCTAATGGGACGACCTTGAACTGATCAAACTTTGGGGATGTCGTAGGTCAAACCTTTCCAAAGACCGGTCAAACTGTTGTCGTTCATTATACGGGTACTCTAGAAAATGGCCAAAAATTCGACTCGTCAAGGGACAGAGGCGTGCCCTTCAAATTTAGAATTGGAAAGGGCGAAGTCATCAAGGGCTGGGATGAAGGGGTAGCGCAAGTAAGTATACGAAAAGCCACATAAACAGTAAGAAAAACACCACTGCGCATGTTTTTACACAAGCTGTTTCCAGAAATTGGTACAATTGGACGACCTGTAAAACATTTAAATGATGTTATCAATCCTTGCGCTCTGACATCTTTGATGTTGGTATTTTTTTACTGATTGCACTTACAACTTTCTGTTCTGGTGACTGAAGAGTTGTTTTTAAACGGAAATAATTTCTTTTCAGTTGAGTGTGGGTCAAAGGGCGAAGTTGACGTGTTCCCCTGACTACGCTTATGGGTCTCGTGGTCATCCAGGCATCATCCCGCCAAATTCAACTTTGATTTTCGACGTAGAACTTCTCAAAGTCGAATAAATCTGCAAATTAGTCAAAAGTCTCCTTTTCTTTCTGTTTTGCAGTATTTATCATTCTTTATTTTTTTTACTTAATGAGTCAGAAATAGATTAACTTTTCACAGCTACAACATAGAAGCTTTTTGCTGGTTACTTTGAAATGTATGTGTTGTGGTGTCCCAATAAAAAAAGAGTTCATGTCAGGAATAATCGTTTATTTTTTCACCTCTCAAACATTAGAACCTCTAGAAAAATACGTAACATATTTATAAACTTTTCACAAACAATAACAAACACTAAGACAGGATTATTGCTAAGCGGGAAGTTCAATAGAAGAACAATTCGGGAAAATTTTGTTCATATGCTGGTTTCTCGATCTTCTTTTCTTCGGTAGGGTTACGTCTTTCATTCGCACTCAACGATTTGAAAATTTCATTCAACTTATTCTGTAATACATCATGCTGAAAAAAAACGAAAATGTTTTTTTTTTAATTGAATTCGCCTTTTTAACTCACTTTGGGCTGAGTCCGTCTGACAAGTTCCGAAAAAGTCGCTGTTCGGAAAGTATCACTCAATTGTTTGCGTCTGCGTGCTTCCGCCTCTTTCCGAGTTTCCGCCGATTCGGTCAATACTTTTTTCATACTTTCAAAGGTTAATTCCTCTTCAACCATTTTCTATTACAAAAAATAGAAAATTTTAGACAAGAAATTCAAAACCAATAGTACATAAATAAATGAACCGTTTTTCATTAGGAATAAAAACTGACATAAAATTATAAAACTTAAAGAAAATTGGTGCAACGTTATACTTGTTTACAAACAACTAAATTACTTAAAACCTCCCAACCTTGGAAAATTATAACTTGTTTACTACATCTTTTCATAATGATATTTTATGTTAGCAAAAATTTCCTGGTAGTTTATTATCAAAAATAGTGGTATAGGTATCATTATTATTCGTGTTAATTTTGATACTATTGTATTTTTTGGTTTTAAATTGTAAACAACTGCAAATCAGGTCACGTGATACAAAAAAATAATTACCCTTTGAACTCCTGGACTACTCGAAACGCTATCGACCTCTTGCGGTGCATTAATATCAATAACACTGCCCCTAGCCGTCTCGATCCAACTATTCCTCTGTCCTCCACCCACAACTCCTGGGCCTCCGGCACCATAGGGCGATGTTTGAGCCAACCTCGACGGATCTATCCCCCCACTCTTGAGATTCTCACACACGGCCATCTAAACAAATAATGAAGTTCAAAAAAATCCACTTTCCGTCTTATGACTCACTTGATCGACCAGAAGATGCGGCACTTTATTTGCCACTTCGCTATCTTGAGGGTAGTGCACCATCAAATCGGGCAATAAATGCGGTGCCTCTTGTGTCCTCGCCTCTACAATCTGATTAGCGTACTCTAACAATGGGGGAATAGTCACCACGCTGGGGATGAGCACCAAAAGGCTGATCACCAAAGCGTGAAGGTTGAATTTTTGGGGCGTAGAAAGGGTCGTGCTGTTTAAGGCGAGACTTTGGATCCCTAAGACTAACTGTAATAAGTCGATAACGGTTTCAGCGCTCGCCAGTTCGACGCATAATAAAGCCAGCGTCGTGTAGACTGCCTCCACGTTGTCTGGCGTGTTGGATTCCATTTGGAGACTGGTGTAGAGAGCGTCGTAAATGATGGGGCCGTGTTTGTTGATAAAAATTAGGTCAGGACGAGACGATTTCTCCAATACTAGGTTTAATTTGCTCACGTTTACTCTGGGGGAAGAAAAATAACGGCACTTTGAAATGATTTATCCCTTTATGTGGGTCAAGTGGGTCGATAAGTCTCACACCAAAACATTAAAGTGACAAAATTCCAAAATATATGAGAAAATTTCCCGAATTGTCTAATGGGTTTACAATTGAGGCGTTGAGAATTAGAGTGGCCTAACCTACATTAAATAAATGTTAATTTTTTTTAATTTTATTTTGTTTCAAATACAGTCACTTAGTAACCGTTTATTTTTTTTTTTTTGTTTTCAACGTTAAGCCAGTGTTTTACTGAAAGTTTTAACAATAAATAAAGTGTAAAACTACATTTATAAATTTTGTGGATTAGGCCTCTATCTAATTTCAAACGCCCAATTAGGGTCAATTAAAATTGTAAAGATGTTTTAAAGCTATTAGAAATAAACTTTTCCATACGTTATTTCGAGAAACTACAGGAAAGAAAAAATAAATGTTTAAAAAAGAAAAGAAAAATATAACGAAACAGGATGCTTTAAACAGTGTTGTGAATTAGTTAGTTTTTTATTTTATGAAATTAAAAAAAATAGGCGATTCAAAGAAAAAATGAAAAGGCTATTTTCACATAAAATAATCGTTTTTTTGGAAATTGCCGGTTTTTGGACATAATCGAAAACCTCAACTTGTGAATTTATTACTTACGTTGGTTTAGTTAACTTCTCCAAATTCTGGTGCCTATCCAGCAACGTATGTAAAATCTTCTGCACCAAAAGCCTCATTTCAGGATCAGGTGCCAGCGACATCCTCAACAAAGGCTCCAAAAAGGAAACCGGAAACGTTGAATTCAAATGAATAGTTTGGTACTTAGTACCCACTTTCAATAAACTTTTCAATAAAATACTTTGCAACAAATTATCGGCGGGGGTATGATTGTCAACAAGCGGAAATGGGATCTTGCTCATAATAAACATCATAATTTCAATTTTCTGATAATCGGGTAAATGATTAGCGAATTCACCCAACGCATTTATTAACGCATCCTGATATTGCTTTTCTTCAGTCATACTTGTGCCATGCTTAACTGAATCTTTTAAGTGGCATAATAATGAATTAATTATCTCGAGTACCATCGGACCTACGCTTTCGCCAGCCGCTATGGCAATGATTTTTGATAAAACTCCCGAAATGCTCGTTCGGATAATCGGACTAGATTTGGCGTTGTCGTCTAAATGGGCCACTAGTGTCTCCACAACAGTGTAAGAATACTGTGCTTGAATCGAAAACATAATTATCCTAAATGTATGAATGGCGAATTCGTTATTATTCGGATTATCCTCGGGTGCCCAAAGCTTATGCAAGTCGAAATGTTTCAAAACCGGCTTAAGAACAGCCCGAATGTGTCCAAAAGAAGCTCGCCCGACAAGTTCCCTAAGACAGGTTTCAGCAAGCATCGGTGGGTCGGTTTGGTCTTCGGGAATGACCTCTTTGGCTTCGTTATCAAGAAAACGAGCGTTTTGCATGTTGAAGAGCAAGCTGGGAACGATTTTGTCCATGTGCACCGGTTCCCATATGTTTTCGACGAGGTCATCCGAGACGGTCTTTCGGACCACGGCTTGGAGACCTTTGATACCGGCAATTCGAATCTGGTCGCCTTCACTACTATGACACATGGCGGAAAATTTGCTTACAAAGAAGTCGTAACGCCTGTGGTAGGAAGGGGTGTCTTCTTCAATGTTGGCGAATTTTACGAACTGAGAATAAGAAAAAAAGAAAACAGTGGTGATGATCTTATATATGTTTTTTTTTCATAATTATTTACTAAAGGTACAAAAATTTTGTCAATAAAAGCCTCAAATAACACTAAACAGAAAGAATTACAATTTAGAATACAGTTGGAGACAAAATACTTTGATCGTTAATGTCACTTGAGTGACATTAAATTGTAAAGAATGCTTTAGGACTGTTAACCTTATTTTTAGCTACTGTCAATCATAGTTGACAAGTTGTATGTACATATTTTTGATAGGAAAATATAATAGCTGTCAATAATTTGAAATTGTCATTCATTTTAACGTTAAAGCTTGAATTACATTAAAGTGTCACAAAAGTGACGACTAAAGTATTTTGTCTCCAACTGTACAGCTTCCTTGTTTCTTCTTCTAATAGCCTGTAGCAAAAAAAACTTGAAAATTATTTTTCTAACAGTAATAAATACAGTCAAAGTGCAAAATTTAAACTCTTATAACTTCGAAATTTTTAAACATTTTTTCAGTACTCTGGGGGACTACCCATCAATTACTCCCTTTAAAGGAAGTGGGCGATTTTTTAAACACCCTGTATATTTTTTCAGTAATGTTTCAAAATCGTACTTGGAAAAAAATAGTATAATTTTTAATTTATTTATGTGATACATAATGTTATGAGAGCAAAAAATATTTTTTTATAAAAATTTTCATTTAATCCAAAATTCGTAATGGTAACATTTTTTTGTACAAATAAAACACATTAGATAAGTAGGTAGTTACAGTATTACTGAATGAACACATGATTAATTGAAGCTTTAATACTTCAAGTTATTAATTGTTGTTATTTAAGACGATAAAAACTGTAATAAAGCTAAATTCCAGTTTGTTTGATTGACGTCCTACATTCATTATCTAATGCAGTACAAAATGTATTACCTAGAAAAATTAGATCTTGCTTTGTTATCGTATTGACAAAGTAGTTTATGGTAAAAGAAGAAAAAATAAATTCAAACAAAACAGTTCATGTAATTATAAAATACCAAGCCTTCAATGTAATTCCTGAACAGAGTCGTCTATGATTCTAATAATTAAATAGGCAACAAATAAAAGAGAGACAGAAGATGCAGGGTGCGCCAGAACTCGCGCCCCAGAGAAAATGCCATATAAGGTAAGATACCAGGAACATGAAAAAAATGTTAAAAAAATTTTATCTATAAAAATTTCGAAGTTATGAGGGTTTAAAGTTTGCACTTTGACTGTATTTATTTCTGTTGGAAAAATAATTTTCCAAGTTTTTTTGTTATAGACTATTAAAAGAGGAAACAAGGAAGCTGTATCCTAAATTGTAACTCTGTTCAATGTTATTTGTGGCTTTTATTGGCAAAATTTTTGTCCCTTTACTAAATAAGAGTAAAAAAACATATACAAGTTGATCAGTATCATTAAATAGAAATAAAAAAATGTCAAATGTCAAAAAATAAATGTCAAAATTTTTTGACAGATAGAATTTTTTAAACATTTTTTTCATGTTCCTGGTATTTTACCTTACTTGAAAATTTTCTACGGGGCGCGAGTTCTGGCGCACCCTGTATAATAATGTTAAAAATTACATCTTAAAAAATTAAGTCCATAACTTTTATAGGTCTCATTATCTTAAAAGAAACACAACATAACATTTTTGAAAATTCTTTTGTTAAAAAAATTGAGTGAAATAAAGTTTTTTTTTTCAAAATACGACCACAATGTTTGGAAGGTGGTGCCATCATTGTATGAACAAATATGTACAGACTTATTCATGAGAGAGGTATCTCTGCCGCAACCCATTACACAAATTGCAACAATTTCTTGATATCAAATTTTGAAAATAATTATAACTGAATGATGGCTATTATTAGTTTTTTTTGACATTAAAAAAAAAATCATCCCGCAAACGATGCGACGTGTTTTGTTATCGTTTATCAACCGAGTGGGTGCATGTTTACCCTTCAGAAGCTGATGGTAGACCCTTCAAACACCTTTTACATTAACTTAACTTGTTAATTTATTTGCAGAATTTTGATTAAATATGTATAGATTATCTGCCAATCACTTCCGGCACTCTATCCACCTTACTTTGATTTCTAATTTAAAATACACAACATATTTAATTTAGCCGTTAGAGGTAATGGTATTGTTGGTTGCGGTAAAAAAAAAATTGCAGACATGTTACAAACGTATCCCTATCGTGAATAACACTGCATGTATTAAATACGTCCCATGATGTTGTTAATGATATACAGTTTCAACAACATAAAAAACAAGGAATACATATTTTTATTGTGTTTTGCAGTTTAATTAAAACAAAAACGACTTCATTCTTACCGACTGAGTCGCCAAAATTTGTAACTCGGGCTCAGTAGATTCAAGCAACTTCTGCACCATCTTCAGAAAGCTTTCAACGAATAAATTCAAGGCAGGTGCATGGCAAGCCAACAGCAGCTGATCCATAGCTTCCATCGCGATAATAACAAACCCATATCTCCTTCTATAAATATCCCTCGCCGCTCTCTGGTACATATACTCCCCAATTCTGTCAAGTTTCTCTGGCGAGCTGAGGGCATAGAACGTGAGTTTTTCCATGTTGTTTTTAACCAAGCCATCTTGGGGGTAGACGGGGAAAATATTATCGACGAATCTCTTGTACCTCGGTCGGAAAGCACTGCAACAGCCGCAGCAGCCTGGAACCAAACAGTCGATGATGAAACTCATTGCGACTGATAAGGAAATGATAAGAAACGAGGAAGATTCTTACCGAGACACATTATACACGGGTTTATCAACAGGAAAAAGTAAAAATTGAGTGAAATGTGATAATAGTGACAAGTGTCAACAAATGTCAAACTAGCGACATCTAGGAGTTGTGATTTGAATGAATGGTAAGGGTCGATTAGTTGCATAATTACCGCTAAATTTGTATTTCTTTAAAATTGTGATAATCACTTCAGGTACTTACAGCCCGGATCCGTGCATTTTTGGGCAAAAGTGTCCAAGACTTCTGCTATTTCAAGGCCGTCAAAGCAACACTTTATGAACGACATTTTCTACAAATTATTATTCGAAAAACTACTCAAAAAATTCACTGGTACAACTTGTTCAGCAACATATTTTGTGAACCTTGCTTCGTTAAAGCTAACATTAAAGTAGGCAATTAAAAATGTGAAGGTTGTAGCTTTATGACTGGCGGTTTCTTTTAATTAAATTACTGCTATTATGATGTCTATTAGAACGAAACGTTTAATTACAACAAAGTTGATCCCATACATGACGGAAACATGTTTGATTTGATCGACTTGAGACGTCGAGACGCCAAAAAGACATCACGACTCTCACACTACGTTCACTACTAAATCCTTTTCTTTTTAGAACTCGCGCATGACGAAAAGGGCTTATCATCGCATGCTCAGAAAGATTTTCATATGGAAATTACGTAACTGAAAATTGCTACTGCTTGGAAAAGCTATTTACACTTTAATTAAGGCTAAAAATACAAGGCGTTCTGATAACAATGTATATTTTTTATTCAAAGTTGCGCTGGTGTTTACGCTATTAGTCGACGTTTTATGTATAAAACACATTTTTAAGTCAGTAGCTTTTTGAGAAGTGATATTGTGTTAATTATGAGTTATTGATGCTGGAAATATTGATTTTTAGTTAAATTTAGCTCAAACCTGATCCAAGAATGAGTTTTAATTCCTAACCCCGGCGTCAATTCAAATTTAGTTTTTTCAAACCATAATTTTTTTACGCTTCTTTTATTGTATTGTAGGTAAATATGTGTTTCTTTCAATCCTATTATTACCCTATTATCTTTACCTCAACCTGATTGATTTTTTTATGCAAATTTATAAAACTTGTTTTACAGTTGATGTAACGATTAAGTAAATCAACAATTTCAATTTAGGCAAATAATGTTGAGTTTCTCTTAGAACAATATTTTAATATTTTTTTGGCTGCTTTATGCAACCAGTAAAACAATAACTCTGTAAAAATATTTTTGTTTATGTTTAAATTCTCATACAACATAAAACAGAATTTGTACAATTAAATATATTGTTTTTAATAAAAAAAAATTTTACGGTAAACAGAAACCAGAAATTAATTTTCGGTCAGAAAAACTTTCGATCTTTCGAGTCAAATAACTGAAGTGTAATATAACCCAATTCTTTTGTTTGTTTTCGATTTGTATTTAGATTTATGGTCACTGTTTTGCTTTAAAATTATAATTTTTTGTATACGATATTTTGTGTTACATTGATTTTTCATTGGAACATTTGCATCATAGTATCTGTAAGTTGGTTCACAGATTGTTACTTTAGGTGTTTTTGTCGCTTTCTATTTTCACCCAAAAATTTGGGTAAATTACCGAATTTCATTTGCATATCTGAGGAATCGTAAAACACAAGTTTTTTCTTTTTGTGTAAAAAATGTGCATTAAATAATATTTTTAGCGCAAATTTCATTGTTTAATGAAATTTATTATCGTTTCAGCTTACTAAATGGCTTTTTCAATTCTTAGTGATACCTATATAAGATAGATAAGTCGAAAGAAAATCAGCTGATTTATGGTTTTATTTGATCAAAAGCTTATCAGCTACGTATAGCGCCAGATAAGATTTTAGTTTTTGTTTTCCTTAACAATATCATTTTAGTGCCGACATTGTGCATATTCTATGGCCCTCTTTTCTACTTTTCCAGGAAATGTCCGTAGTCTTGAGTGAGTCCCAGAATTACATTTGGAGCGACGACGATTGTCTTGGTGAAGGCACTTTTGGTAAAGTCTTTCGCGGCATACATAAACGATCCGGTGATAAAGTCGCCATAAAAATTTTCAAACATGTTAACCTTCAAGTATCACAAGAAACCAAATTGTTACAATCATTACAACACAAACATATCATTCGGTTTTTTGCTACCGAATTTGAACTTTCCACCAATAGAATGGTCATGATTTTGGAATTATGTAACGGCGGAAGTCTGATGAGTTACTTAAATGAACCGGAAAACGTCTGCGGATTGCCCGATGAAGAGTTTCTGCTAGTTTTCAAACACTTATCAGCGGGATTGGAATTTTTGAAGAGGCACGATGTAATACACCGTGACGTCAAACCAGGTAAAATAAAATATGACCCTGAACAAAACGAAAAAAAAATTTCAGATAATATCATGCGTCATGTGCTTGACGACGGCCGAACAATTTACAAACTCGCCGATTTTGGCACAGCTCGGGAACTCCCCGAGGGCCAAAACTTCACCTCCCTCCACGGTACCGAGCCTTACCTCCATCCCCAACTATACAGGGTGTGTTTTTTTCAAGGAGGTAACTGCACGCGTGAATTTGGAGCGAATACTGATCTTTGGTCGATTGGTGTCACCCTCTACCAAACCGCAACCGGGAATTTACCTTTTGTGGTACAGGATCGTCACGTGATGCTTCGAATTTACCACGAAATGAAGGAAAATGAAGGAATTGTATCGGCCATTCAGCAAAAAAATTCCGACGAGGTTGTTTTTCAGAAAAAATTGCCGCGAAATTGTCGCTTAAGTTGTGGGCTAAAACAGTTGATAACACCCATTATTGCGGGGGTTTTTATACAGGAAAAAAAGAGGCAGTGGTCGTTTACTGAATATTATGAGCAAGTCATTGAATTAGTTTCAAGAAAAGTAATTAACGTTTTTTATGTCAATAAGATGCGGATGATCAAAATTTATATAAAGTGCGATGAACCGTTCAGCGTTTTCAAATTTTATGTTTCTGAGCAGAGTGAAGTTAGTGAAGAGAATCAGGTTTTTCTGTACAAGGCTAATCTAGTTGTAAATACTTTTGAGGATTTTTCTAATGTTGACGAATGGGATTGTATTTTTTTGTTTGATAGAAGTAATCCACAGGTCGAGTCTACAATCGATATTCAGTTAGTTTTTGAAAATCTTACGAATTTTCCCAACAAATTTACGTTAAGTAGTGAATGTGATGATCACAGACTTGTCTTCGTCACGTGTCGTGATTTATGTCTTTGTAAAAATTTAATGGAGTATCAGTCTATTGTTTACAAGTATTTTAGTAGTTTTATTAAAGATTTTAATAGTTACTGTAAAGAAGAAACAAGAGATCAAAGAAAAATGTATGATACATTATTAGAGAAATCTGCGCAAACAAAAAATCGGGCTCAAATTTTAAAACAATTACAAATTTTAAATCACTTTAATGACACTTCATTCTTCGATAACTTTGAAGAAATTAGCGAAAATTTTCTTGTGGAATCTGAAAAATTGTTTAACGATTTAAGAAATATTAAAGCGGATGTAACTCCAAATTCATCTCATGATTCTTATCTAAAATCAGTGTCAAAAGAATTGACCGATATGAAACAGTTAAGAAAAAATTTATATAATGCAAGAATTAATAAAAAATTATATGATTATGAAAAAATTAAAATTCTTTATTGTGTGAGAACAATATTAGAAACATTTACCGATAAAATGGACCCCAATTTTGATTGTTTTGTCAATGATATAAAAAATTGGTATAAAAATGAATTTTTCGCACACGTGCGTACTTTGAGCACTTTAAAAAAACAACTGAATCGATATAGAAGCGATTTGACACGATTCGAAGACGAAATTCAATCTCGCAGCGACGAAAATTTGAAAACTATCAGCACTTTGGGACTCAATAAAGAAAAATTGTTTGATATTGTAGGAAAATACAAAAGTAATGATTCAGATATTAAATCACTCGTTGAGGAAAATTTAAAATTGGTCGAACAAATGAATGCATTGATTATAACTTTGAACTCCAATTTATCGACTGATTTGTGATTTTTTGATTTTTTATTTTATAACACTTTGATTGGTTTATTTAAGTATTAAAATGTGATGTTTTGCATAATAAATAAAGGTTTATTCTGTTCAATGAGAACGTTTTATTCATTAACTGTCGAAAAAAAACAAGAAGATGTTACGCCACTGTCTTGCGAATAATTTAGTATCTTTTGGTGATTTTATGCTTTTATTATTGGCTTCACTGTCGTTTGACAAAGTACAGCTGACGAAACAATACACATTATTTTTTGTGAAATTTCGGTAATTTACAGATGTGAAAAAGCATGTGACTTAAATATCGGCCCCCAAAATGTCTTTTTTACGCGGATCTCAGAATTACGTCTGGTCGACAACGAGTGTCTTGGGAAAGGGGGCTACCGGGGCTGTCTACCAAGGCGTAAATAAAATCAACGGTGAGCCTGTGGCGGTGAAAACCTTCAATCAAATGAGCCACTTGCGTCCCCACGATGTTCAAATGCGTGAATTTGAAGTGTTACAAAAAGTGAAACATGAAAATATCGTCAAACTTTTGGCCATTGAGGAAGAACAGGAAAATCGTGGAAAAGTTATTGTGATGGAGTTGTGCACGGGAGGAAGTCTTTTTAACATTTTGGACGATCCGGAAAATACGTACGGACTAGCGGAAAATGAGTTCTTGAAGGTACTCCAGGATTTGTCCGCCGGGATGAAACATCTGCGGGATAATAACCTTGTCCATCGGGATTTAAAGCCAGGTAATGGCGCAGTTTCCGTTTTTTCAATGACCTAATATCTATTTTTAGTTATTACATTTCTTATCAAAGTCACAAAATTCTTTCAAATTGGTTTTTCCCAACCCGATTTAAGTTATGTTCCAAGCATGAATGAGTGAATGTCATTAGGTAGTACTAGTTTTCAAATCGTTATATAAATTTCATTACTGATATCTGATAAGATATAAAGATGTCGAGACTGCATAATGAGCCTGCACTTCTCTAATGTACTCCACAGATGCACTTTTTTCCTTGTTCCTTAATAAAAGGGTGTTATCTTTTATTATTTAGGGGTAAAAACAATTATTTTAATAACTTTCCACCGCAATTATTAATACACATATTTTCCAGCTTTGTCCTTTGGTAACTTTTAATTTAAAAAAAAATAATTAATTAAATTGAATTAAAGATTTGTGAGGTGCAAAGTTAGGCATGAAAACGTCTTACTTATGATATTTTGACATTAGTGTTTTGTTTCCCCAGGTAACATAATGAAGTTTATCTGTGATGACGGCCAGACTGTGTACAAATTGACCGACTTTGGGGCAGCTCGAGAACTTCCCGAGGGCCAACATTTCCAATCATTATATGGCACGGAAGAATACTTACACCCAGATCTCTATGAACGCGCAGTATTACGCAAGCATGTCAATAAAACTTTTGGCGCTACAATTGACTTGTGGTCAATCGGAGTCACTTTGTATCATGTCGCAACAGGAAATCTACCATTCCGTCCTTATGGTGGCCGCAAAAACAAAGAAACCATGCATTTAATAACAACGAAAAAAGCAAGTGGGGTTATTTCCGGTATTCAGGTCACTGAAGAAGGCCAAATTGAGTGGCGCAAAACGTTGCCGGAAAGTTGCCAACTAAGTCCGGGTCTGAAGAAAATAATTACACCGTTATTGGCTGGTTTACTGGAAGCAGACACGAAAAAAATTTGGACGTTTGAACGATTTTTTACGGAAGTTACTGACATGTTATCAAGAAAAATCGTTAATATTTTTCATGTGAATAAAGCACAACTTATCAAGGTTTATATCCATCCCGACGAAAGTTATAATCATTTACAGAATTACATAAACGAACAAACTGAAGTATCGCCTGAAAATCAAATATTGCTCCTGAAAACAAATTTATTCACTGATATAGTGGAAGAGAATAGTAGAGCAGGAGGTTACCCCGAAACAAAAGAAGGCGAACCTTTATTTCTATTTAATAAAGAAAATAACAACGTGACGGTAATTCCCGAGCAGAACTTACCAAAATTTACAGATTTTAGTAATGTGACGTCTGTAGAAAGCGACGCAGCGCAGGCAAAAAACGCCTGTAGTATAGGCTATCTGTGCAAACGACGAATTGAAAAATATTCACTCGCCTGCTCTCATTTCAACAACTGTGTTGAAAACTTTGTGCAATACATAAACAAGGAACTCAGAGAAATCAACCAGGAATCGTTGCATCTGTTAGAAAAGACCACGATTCATAAAAAGACTGCTCATTTTCTAGAATCATCGCAAAAAATTGCGGCTTTTAAATTCAGTAATGTCCACCAAATCGTTTACGTCGACGATTTGAAACAACTGAGCGAAAGTTTTGTCTCGGAAACCGCGAAAAAAATTCTGCAACTGAACCAGAGTCACGTGATCGAGAATACGCTGCAGTCCGAATGGGACGTATCGAGTCGGCCATTGAAGAGTCCAGTAAAGTCGCGAGCGGTCGAAAGGGCCCGGACTGAAGTAGAGCGCTTGAGGGACTCGTGGCAGCACCTCGTTCGAGATCGGGCCACTCGGACGCTTTCCTACAACGACGAGCAGTTCCATATTTTGGAGCGCATTAAAATCACACATACAATTAATCGGATCAAGGTTTTGTTGCAGAAAGAAGTGTTTCCGCAGTATGTGCAATTGGCAGAGAATTTGGGCGATTGGTATAAAATCGCCCAGACGGTTTATTTGCAAATGATGATTTTGAAAAGGGACGTTTTGAATTATGACTCCAATTTGAAAAAGTTTGAGTTGGAGATGTTTATTAAAAATGAGGAGTATTTAGAACAGGTGAAAAAATTGTTGGAGCAGGACGCAACTGATATTTCAAGCAAGAAAATAAAGAATTCCAATAATCAGAAGTTGAAGATATGTCTGAGTGAATACAGGAGGGAGTGTTCTGGTTTGAGAGAAGTTGTTTTAGAAAATGAACAACTCGTTGAGCAGGTCAGTAGGATTCTGGAGGATTTGATCGTTGACGAAGAGGGCTGATTGCATTCCGTGTTCTTTTTGAGATAAGTTGTCAGTTTTCAACTGATTGTGTTAACGTTACTGTATTATTTTTATTGTTATACTGAGGAAATAAAAATATTTCTATTGGATGTTTGTTTTTTTTATAAATGAAAAATAAATAATTTAAGAAATATAACAAACCGCCTAATGAAAAATAAAGAAAAAAAATCACAATTCCATAAAAATTTTATTTAGTGTATCGTTGGTTGCCTAACATCCATTTGAATTTTTTTTGTAATTTAAGCAAAAATTTAAATTGTGCGCAATGCAGGGATAAACAAAATTACTTATTTTTAAGAACATTATTATACAAATACAATTGCTTTTTTGTGTCTAAACTACTAGTAAAAATATTTTCTTACGTTGGTAAGGGCATAATTCAAATTTTCAGACATGCGCGTCTTGTAGAGCGTTAAAAATTGTGGTCGAAAATTTGAGTTTGACTATTTCATAGATTTAAAAAACATTTTCTTCTAGTTTTATAAGTGTGTAGTTTTAGTGGTTTTATAACTATGTTGTAAGAAATTCAATCATGGAAGAAGCAAACAGGTAATTATATAGTTTCTGTTACCTCATAACCTCAAAAATAACGACCAAAACTAACGGACGCATTAAATGATCCTACTAAATAAACGTTGAAATTTTCATCTTTTCCAATGAAATGTTAATTTTGTAAATTTTCAGAACAAACAACGACTACGAAGATGTCAGTGTCACTGGGCTCACTCCAAGCGTTTTTCATGATGTTTGTGTAAGTTTACTCTTTTTCAAATTGTATTATTATTAGAAGATAGGCCACACTAGTGCTAATCAACTAAAAACATAAACTTTTACGGCCAAACCCCAATATTTTTATAACATATTACATGTAAGAACATTTTGTTATCAATGGAAAACAAGCTGTTAGCTGAAAACGTTACGTGTTTATGTTTAATCTGTAGCAAAAAAATGTTGCGCTGTAAGGAAAAACATTAGTTTAGTGAGTTTGTTTCTTTCACGATTTTATTACAAGCAAATTTAACTTTCTGTTGTTGTTGGTTTCCATAAGATTCAAAATGCGACCAGTCCTTGAGCACTACAACCAAACTTTCATTAGAAATTCCTATAAAACAAGCAAATTCAGTTTTATTACTGTCTCAGTAGCTCGTTTGCAGGCATATAGCATAAAAATGAATTCGAAAATCGCACAAATGCTCCAGAAAAAGTCATACATGACCAATAAATGCGACTTTTCTTTAACAACAGAATGCAAAGAATTGAAAAATTCGACAAAGGTACGGACAATTATCAGAAGCAAATGTGAAGAAAATGCTTGATTGATCTTAATAGCCAAGTCGCAAACTTCGAAATGATAAGTCATTAATTCGTTCATTTTTTCTATTGCTTGCTTCGGGTCTTTTGATAAGTTAAATAATCCTTTGTTTACGAAAATTAAGTGTTGGCGTGCAACTAAAATCAAACCGCAAAACTGAGTCAAAACAATCGATGAAATAAGGTATGTCATGTTGTAAGTAATGAAAGAGACAACGCAAGAAATGTACGTATTTCTTGTCATAAAACAGCTGAAATTTCCTACGATTGAAGTGCTCAATACCATGATTTTTTTCATGAGGAGAAGGATTCTTACAGCGCTGAAAAAGATATCAAACATACTATTTTAAAAAATGTATTATTACTACTACCGATATCTTATCACAATATTGTTTTTTTTCGCTTGCTCTTCGTAGTATAAGACTAAATTCATACAATCAATGAATCTGTATCTGTTTGTGTAAACAACAACCAGAATATTAAGAGTGACTGCAATTTTTACTAGTTTTACAGCGACTTTTGTAATTTTTTCGGTACGCAGCTCTAAAATTATGTGAGTTGCAGCAAATGACATAGTTGTAAACTGAAAAATCAACGCAAAAGCGTAAAACCATAAAAAAGGAAATGGACGAAATCTAGGTCTGGGTTTGCAGTTTTTATCGTAGGTTAGAGGAAGGGTGCAGAAAATTCGAAGGTAGCGGGAGGATTTTAAACATTCGTAGTAGTAGTGATACATGTCAAATATTTGAAACAATTGAATACTAACGAATGATTCGATATTATTTTGATAAGGGTAATTGAATGAAAGATTTGTCATTTAGTGGGAAAATAAAATGAATTGGAATTAATAAATCATTGATTACCATGAGTGATTTATTTAAGTAAAGTGATGTTCAGTTTTTGGAAACATTAAATGCAAATACATAGTGAAAAGCAAAACGTCTTGTTTTAATTAAAATTCCATAATTTGATTTAAAAAGAATATGATCGATATACATAGTCCAACTTGCTGAAAAAAAAAAATACTGTTGAGTTGTTTCATCTAAAAAAAAATAATCATTGAGTAAAGAAAACGATAATGCCTTTATTTTTTAATTTTCTTAATATCTAGTAAGTATGTACACTTGGTTGCAAAAAAATCGGAAAATGTCAAAGCATAAAAATGTCAGATTTTTATATTTATCCATAGTTTGAATATGGCTTAATTCTAAAAGGTTAAGTTAGAAGTGATTGTTGACCTGTAGTACTCACTACTCATTGGGTTTTCTCGTAAGTACTCAACTAATTGATTATCTTGATTTGCATTTGATGCTCTCGGCATTTAAGTGAGGCATTGCAGAAAAAAATATTTGAATGCGACAGATGACAAATTGACAAGGGCAAACCCTGTTTCAATCTAAAGAAAATCCTATTTTCCGTTTTTATTGCAACCAACTGTACCTACTAAATAGTTCTTTTCTTTTTATAAAAAATAGTAGTTTGAGGGGTTGTTAGACTATTAGGGATCGGCAAATAAATGGTAAAAAACAGGCTTTTCAAGTAATTATACATTTGTATGCATATGTATGTGTATGTGCAAATACCGTGGAGGGAGCATAAACACTGAAAACGTGTTCCATGAGCAAACACCTTTTATGTTCCTTTTCAAAGTGCTTTTCCCCCACTAATTTGGATGCAGTGATGTAGTCAATGTTTTTTTACATTCAGTTAACTAAATACACCACCGATTAACATTAACAATTAACACCAATACTTAAATCTAGACAGATTATTTAAAAAACTGTGTAAAACAAAGTTAATAAATACAAAAATCAAAAGACAACGTGGAAAAGGCGGACACAATGAGACGCCCATGGTATCAGCTGATTCGGAAAACAACTTTTGACTTGCACACTGATTACACATTTATGCGGGAGATTCAAAAAAGGTCGTAAAAGGTGTTTGCAGCTCGACTAAAAACCTAACATAGCCGGTATAGGGCAAGCTCTCTCCAGTTGTTTCTCCCTCCACGGCAAATATACAGGGTGATTTACGAGGAATAATGAGCCTGATCAAATTTTCGATGCAACCAACATTACAGTTGTCGCAAAATAACTTGCGAAGAGTAATGGTGGTTGCATTGAGAATTTGGTCAGGCTCATTATTCTTCGTGAATCACCTTGTACATTTTAATGTTTTTAGCCATAAGTGCATGTTTTACAATTCTTTTTGCATAACTGCATGTTTTACCTGATTTAGGATTTTGGGATCGTAACATTCATAAAAATATTCTCTTTATAAAAATTTTGATGAGGGTAGTTATTAGTTTTATTCTTTGTTGTAAGACTAGAGGCATCCTTTAAAGTTGTAAAATAAGTGGCAAATTATTTTCTCAACATGGACGCATGGCTTTCCCTAATTTTATTTTTTTAAACTTGATTAGAAACTAATTGGAGCAGTTTTATTCGTTTGTTCGTGCTGTAACAGTGCCCCCTTTTTTTTCGAAGAAAAATTTTGAATACCACACATTTGCATGAGGACTATTTTTTTTTTAATAAAAAACGTTTTTTTTGTATTCCTAGCACAATAAAAAACTAACACATACGTGTAAGTGTTGAATTAGTGGAAAATGTGAATCAACATCTTAGAAAGAAAAAATCAGTGACAAACTTGTGACAAAAACAATAAGGGCTTTCAGTTGTTGTAAAACCTAAATGGTGTTTTTAATAATTGCACAACTTTAGATAATAATCATTTCGGAAGTCGGTATTTGGTGCGAGCACCGCAACGAGCGTTTGGACGGAATAAATGTTTAGCGAACTTTGTATTGCATCTTTGCAAGAAATAGACAGAAGCGTTTGTGGAAAACAGAATTCGCACCTATCATTCGCAATTCGTAGGATGTACGAATACTCGGAGTTTATGCTGTGATCCACAAACACTCCAATTTCTTGGAAAGTTGTAATAGCAACAAATTAAAAGATATTACAATTAATTTGATGATGTTTTGTGTATAAGTAGTCTAAAGTTGTCTTTATGTCTTTACTTTTAAACACAAAAGATTTTTTTATATTATCAACACTGTTGAAAATTGTGAACGTTCTTAAAAAAGATAACCCTCGTAGAAATACCGTAATCGTATGACCTCGACGGTTACGGTATTTTTAGCGTGTGCGTAGCGATGACCCTGTGCTGCTATCGCGTAAAAATGTCGAAACCGGAGAGGTTAAGATTTACAATATACGACGATTTGGTACTTTTACGTGAAGTTTTACATCAAAATCCGTACGAGAAACACGAACGATGGAAGGAAATCCGAGAAATAGTCGTCAACGTTACCGGGAAGGCGTTTACGGTGCGCGCAGTTAAAGATCATGTCGAATATTTATTGGCTTTGTTAGCAAAAGACGACAGGGCGAATTTACGAAAGTGAGTAGAAATAATATTTTAGGGGATTTCTTTCTTGTAAAAGTTTTGCAGGTCTGCGACGGAAGAACAGTCCGATGAAAAGGAACAACTTTTATTGCAAATTGGGGAAATGTCGCGAGGGTTTAAAATGAAAAATTCACAGAAATTCAAACAGTGTGAAGTTCAAGAAACGGTTTTGACAGAACTTGATATAAAAGAGAACGAATCGACGAATTCTAGTGACGGCGAAGGAACCCAACAAAATGTTTCAACATTAGAACAGAGGCGTGCGTTGAAAAGGCCGTATGGGCAGCAGTTGAAAAATTCCAGTTTGCAATTTTTGCGTGAAAAACAGCAAAGCGAGAGGAGCATAAGATTGAGGGAGTTGCAACTGGAGGAGAAAAAGTTAGCGTTGGAAGAAAGGAAGATTGCATTACAGGAGGCACAAATGAAGCTGGAGGAGAAGAAATTTCAAATGGAGAAGAATTATCAGGAACAGAAGTTAAAAATGGAGATTGAGGAGAGGAAACGAGCCCTTGAGTCGCAAAAACAAAATTATTCGCTTATAAATGCGTTGCTTCATATGGTACAAGAGAAACAAAATTTGCATTAATTTTGTAAATAAATGCTTTTATGAGGAAATAATAGTTTTTATTGTAGTTACCTCTGATAAGGCCGACATCGACATGGGAAATAAACCACAAACTGTCATTTCGATAGGTTGGTGTAAGATTTGGTAGAGGAGGACGGCTCTCTGTAGAAAATTTAGTTAGCAAATAGTTAGAAAACTTACTAAAATTAAATAAAAATGAGTACCGCTTTTTCCAACTTTGCATCCAGATCAAACATTTTGTTTCCCAACAAAATCTTAGTAATTTCCTCAGACTACAACTACAAAATTATTTTTCACATTTTCTCTACAGGTATATACTCACTTTTTTTTTAACGTACATAGGTGGTAAAAAAATGGTAAAAACTTGTAATGCATAAATAGCCAAGCTTACACAATCCATCACGTCTTCCTCATTGTGATACATTAGATTTAAAATGGCGATTCCTCCGAGAATGTCACCGAGAGTTACCACAAGAATCGGAATCGAAATCATTCGGTTGAAATGTTTAGTAGCTTTATATAAATCTGTATACAACCCCGAAATTAAAACGAGAATACTTAGTGCTTTTTTTCGGTCGGTTTGTGACAATTTTTTTGTCAAATTTACAACAAAATTTAATTTTTGTCCCAAAATCAAGCTAAAGTAATCTAAATAAATAATACAAATCGCGATTACTATAAAATGGTAACCTAGAGAGAAAAAGTAACACACGATTTGTGTAATATTTCGTTTCAGAAAATAATACAAAAGTAACACATAGCAGATTTGAGTGATAATAATAAAAAAACAACTAGAACTAACAAAAACCCTATGGAGAAAGTGTGACGATGATACTCCCATTTGTACCACTTTTTGATCGAATGATATTAACCGTCGCAAAGATAGAACTACATTCGTTTGTTTTTGTATCATTAAAATTAGTATTAGGACAGTTCCGGTGATTTTGAATCCGGTTAAAATCGTTTGCAGTGTACGCTCTGGAGTTTTTAGTAATTTTTCATCAACGACTAGCAAATGCTTGTAACAAATGATCATAGTGGTCGAAACAACTAAAATAATCGTTAGTATGAGTGCTAAAAGGAAGCAAAAAAACATACCTAGAGGTATAATGATGTTCATGATAGTCAGTTTAAGAGTTTCTAAGTTTCGCAAACTTTTGCACGTGTAAGGAGACATTCCGAATGGTTTTCCGAATTTTACAAGGATCAAAATTGGGGAAATTAGGTCGTGAGACATTTCGAACAGGTCTACATCAATTTTTCTAATGATTTTTGATGACACAAGTTAATATATTACAATTTGAATAATTTATTTATGAGACTGGAAAGTAATCAAATTATTTTTTATTAGTGCTCTTGTTCATAAAATTAGTGTATTTTATTTTGAAATTGAGGAACTAATTCTGTTTCTTCTGTTTCAGAACAACATAATCAAGGAATTAAACAAATCTTCCTCCGCTTTAAAACTTTTTCCAAAAAATGAGACCAAAAAACAACATAAACTCCGTCCATCGATGGTCGACCGAGACCTCGCCCGCTCTCGGCCAAAACGTTCGGTCGTGAGCAGTACTCCCATGCCATGTATCCACCAGAAAAACTTTCTTCCGAGCACCTCGGATTTAGTCTCACCCATTCGCAGCATTTCTGCCGTCAAACCGACCAAACCGATGCATTCTCGCACCAAACTTTTCACCGTAACTAACGATACTCCGATTACAGTTTCTTCAACTAGCAGTGCGCATGCAGAGTCGTCTTCGCACGCAAAGTCTTTGGTCAAAGGCCAGAGCGTGGAGAACCTTGCGGTGACGTTACATCGGAGTAGCGAGGATGTTGAGGCGTCCCATTGCGACGAGCTTCAAGACAAAGCTCAACGCTTGGAGAACCTTGTTTCGTCCTTACGTCAAAAAAATGGGAACCGTTTCTATACCATTGATAAAATGGTGCAAACTTCCAACACTAATTCAACTTTACAGGGAGTGAGAAAACTCGCAAGAAATAGTAATTCTAGGGTTGATATTTCATTGAGTCCGACTGAAGAACGTGAGTTTGAGGTAATGGGTTCGAGTGAGGGATTTTCGACCGTGCTCGACAAATTAGAAAAAAATTTCTTTAACAGACCTGATGATGGTCCTATAGCGAAACATTTACCGGAAATTAATATTGGATTACCGTGGCGAGCAACGAGTGGACTACTCGGAAATGTTCCTTTAGAAGCGAATTCTTTGGTAACACCCGTAGATTCTGATGAGGAATCTCTTGATGAAACGTTCTTGCCGAAAAGGCATCCGAAAACGAAAGTTTTCATTAATAAAAAGAAGCTGACTAAAGCTTCTGGAACTGTTTTGAATAATAGAAGTTCAGTCGACAAAAGAAACGAAAGTATTCTCGATGGAAGAAATCTGGATAGTACTCTTTCTGACGAGGTTTTCTACCCTTCTGAAAGACCGGAAAAGGACAAAGAACCAATGAAAATTACGACGAAGGGGAAACAAAAAAGAAGACTTGAAAGTTTAACAGAAGAAGGAGAACGAGGACATTTAAGAAATACAAATGTTGCAGAAGTTAAAGATAAGAAAAAACAGAACAAAGCTGAGAGTCCATTGAAAAAACAAATACAACAGAATGCAAAGGTTAGCAAAATGAAAGAGAAGGAAAAGACGATACGTGACGAAGAAGAAATGGTGTCGATTGTTAAAAATTATATTGAAGAAGGTCATTCTGGACAAAATATGGATTGGGAAAGCTCGATGCAAGAAAAAGATAATGTCGGAGAGAAAAATAAAAACGTTGCAAGTTCAAGGAAACAACAAAAAAAACTAGATCCAGCTGACAGACCGTCACCAAAACGGATAAGGAATAATATAAACAACTCCAAAATGTCAAACAAGAAAGGCAAGCAAAATATGACACGAGACGATACAGAAATGGTGTCATTTAATACAGATTGTACAGATAACTGGAGAAAAGATTTATTTGGCGAAAGTTTGATAGAAGAAAAGGAACATTTGGGAAAAGGAAATAAATTAGTTCAAAGTTCACAAAAAAGAAAGAAGAAACAGAACAGAGCTGAAAGTTTGTTGAAAAAACAAAAAAAGTTAATAATGAGTGTTTCAGACAAGAAAAACAGACAAAATGCAATATTAAATGACAGTGATACGGATGAAAGGGAAATGATATTAGTTAAAGTGGACGTACATAAAAACCCTACGCGCAAAGACAATAGGAACCAAGTTAAAACTTGTAAACAAGTGAAAAATTTAGACAATGTTGATCTTTTGGTATCAGGATTAGGTCAGTTGCTTTTTTTTCGTTACATTTTCGCACATATAATTATTGTAGCTTGTTCCAAAAATTACTTTTCTTTTTTCAATTACAGAAATGATGCCTAGTAGTGAAGATACGTCTCGTGATGTTGAGACAATTTTTACTTTAAATGAACAAGAGATTATTTCCGATGCACCAGAAAAGAACGATATGGAACACCCACCTGGTACCAGTAAGAAAACATCAGTAACTAGTAAGTTGACTATTATACAAGTACGGATTGTGAAATTCACTGTACTTGTTTTTAGAGAGCATTAAGAAAACAAGTGAAAAAAGTCCAGTGAGAAAAATACAAAATAAAAAGAGAAAAGAAGTGTCTTTGTCAAAACGTCAAACAAATGTTCAAGGCGGTTCAACAACTGAAGGAATTGAAACGATAGCAGACGAGTCAACAGGAAGTGAGTATAAAATTACTAGTATTCGTCATTTTTTTTCCAACCCTATATTTTTCGTAGCACGAAGATCGGGAAGGCAACGTAAACAAACTAAGTTCGCTATACCTGGTTACATCTCATGTACCGAACATGATAAATATTGTGAAAAAAACAATTATATTATGTTTTTTTGTTTTAATAGTTTTTTTTATAGATAAAGTTGCAACGTTGGTAAAGAGTCTATCACAAGTTCCAGTAAGAGATTCAATTCGATGTTCTGCCTTGCAAAAACAACGTACTGAAAAAAATCAATTGTCACCAATTAAGGAGATCGGATATGAAGTCGAAAATAACACTAAAAACTCTAAAGTGACAAGAGGGAGAACTAAGAAACCGGCGAAAAAACAAACAAGTAAAGAACATAAGAAGCCAAGATGTCAAGAAACTAAAACTAAATCAAGAGACGAAAGAGATGTAACCACAAGTGAAAGAACTGAAGAAAATGTAGTTTCATTTGATGAAAATACAAGAAATACTGTACAAAATACTGAAACACTTCAAAGGCTAGAAAACGGTGTTTCAGGGACCTTTTGTTTTGAAGATTTACACGACACTCTCTCTTATTCAACATCATTGCAAGGGAAGGTCAGCAAAAATTCTGTCATATCTGGAAGAGTATCTAAACGGTCTAGTACTAGAACTATTGAGAAAAAACTTAGGGATTCTTTAAAAAGGACAGTTGAGAATCAACTCAACCCGAAGGATCCTTATGTAAACTGCCCTGCAACTAATACGCTAATTAGTGAGTCGAATTGATGGTTAAAAATTGTTCTACTAACTACTTTTACAGGGTACAGTTTTAAAAAACCAGTTTACCAACAGATGGACAGTTTGCCTGGTGTAACTTTTGCTGTTATGGAGGGTATAAATACTGGATGGTTAAAATTAAGCGGAGGGGTGACAAAACCGTTATATAGAACTAAAAATCACACTATGGTAATTTAATTTACAATTTCCTTGATTTTTTTATTTACTTTAGTTATTTTTAGTCTTTCACTGTTATAGAAGGGCAAGCAGAAGCTGGAATACAAAACAAGTGCGACTTATATAAAAAACATGACACATTTGTTGTTCCTCAAGGTGATTTAAGAATTTTATTTAAGTAAATGCTTTGGCACGGTGTTTTATGTTTCAGGTGCGGAATATTACGTGAAAAATCACAACAAAACTAAACAGTTGTTACTGCTCTTTACCAGGTACGTAGATGCAGAAAAATCTACGCTACAATGATTCTCTTGGCAAAAAAATATAGTCAATGGTCATAATTATCTTGTTTCTCTTGTTTTCTACTTATAGTTCTAATGAAACATTTCTATATTTTTTTCATAAATAAATACAGTTAAAATAAAATGAGTTTTTATGCGCCCGTCCTGTAAAGCTTTTTCTGTAATGATTTTGCTTCCGGATAAAATATTTTTACCAGACAAGTTCGTTTGTTAATTTACAATATCTACTACAAGTTTTAACACCATGAAATCGTGAATAGTAGAATTTAAAATCAAAAATTTTTGGGCGCATGATATGTTTTGTAAGCAGTGATTATTTGACTCGTAAGCTAGGACTTCTCTAAAGACTGGTTTTTGCATTTGTTTACTGGTCCAGTAAAAACCCTTTCTAGACAAGTTACGTAAACTGCTAAGTATATACAGTTTGCTGGAAAAAGATGTTTCAATACATTATTAATAATTTGCATTTAGCTATTAATTTATACTCATTGACCAATCCAAGAAATATTAATACGCAATAAAAGTCTAACGCTTCTTTAACAATTTGTGAAAATCAATTATGTTATTATTTAATATTTTTTATTCTAATTTTAATTCTATAGTCTTAAGAAGATAAGTGTGTTATTAAGGACAATACTCGTAATAATGATGATACTTAACTTGTTTCCGAGTTTTGCATTTTTTAAGTCTTTGTTTCATAATTACAATGGTTTGAATTCGAGTACTTTTCATTTGATAATGAAAGTTTCAAAAAAGTTGACTTAGATACAATTTTGAGAGATTGGAACTTTAATCTGAAAATCCATGTTTGCGTTTGAATCGTATATGAATAAAAAAAATCGCCAGGAAGGGTGTTAAAACCTTGTCTAAATAATTAATCTGAGTGGAGTGTAAAGTCGTTTTCCCATCGACTTTTCCGGAAAACGCCGACAGTTTTAGAATCCTTGTTCGCACAGTTGCCCTGCGCGTTGTTTATAATGCCCTTGTCCGGAATCCCGTTTCAGTCCGCGAAGGCGTCGCGACGTGCATCGGCGCCGCGATTTGGTGTTCTCGTCACTTGCACACATTTCACGTCGTCCAATAAGCTGACTCCGGATCCGCCTCACTTAAGGTTTGTTTATGTTGATCTGTATACTTACGTTCATCGCTTTATTATGAATTATGGAACAACAAGCACATGATGTATAGTATAAATCGGATAAGCGCGATTTTTTTTCTTGTTTCGAAGTAAATTAAACGTGAATGAAATAAGAGCAAACGCTTATAAATATACAACTGAAATCGATAGTCCCTAGTAAATGGATTGGGAGATGAAATAGTCATGAGCAAGAACTCATTTAATTTGCATTATGCTTCAGTTATTGCATTTTAGGAAGTTTGTTTGACTGCCGCTTTATTTCAATTAGGGCAAAGTGAGCGCTTTTTTATTCAGAAAGTCAAACTAACGGAGACACTTTAGCTTAATGGGGATGCTATATGCGATGTATGGACGGTAATGGGAAATAATTGGAGATGAGGAGGATTATTGAAAATGTTGGAACAATGCCATAAGGGATGTTTGATTGGATTTTAGGATTTTATACCAAATCAAATAGGAAACTTCCGAATTTAAATGTTTATAGGAATTCTTGTTCCTATTTTAAAAATTAAATAAGCGTTTATTCGTGTTAACAATTTATAAAGGTACTTTTTTCATCCATTTTTTAGTATATGCAACCAAATATACAGCAGTGTACTACTCGTATGACTTGCAGTTACAAATTATAAAGCAATAAATCGGAAAATGTATTAAATTAATATAATACTTACAGATGCAAATAGATTGCTAATCTTACCGCTTTCTCAGACTAATCTTAATCGAAATTGGATCAGTTGTAAATGAAGATTATAATATTAACGACTTAGGTGTGTAGGTACAATATCTCATTGTAATAAGAGGTGTACAAAAAATTTATTTATAAAAACACTAATAAAACAGTTTTTTTATTTTTATTCAAATTATTGTTAAGTTCCAAATGAAAAACAAAAACCTACTGTAAAATATTACTAATTATAATATAGCTATTAGAAACATACATCATGTTATCACAAACTACCGCAGATCTTAATTTTAAATCCGAGCTTGTAGTTGTAGAGCGTGGATTTTAAGACACCTAAAAGGTTGTTATGATTCATACCTACCATCCGTGGTTTGTCTAAAGTAATTACATGTTTTTTTTTATGATTACATTCAAAAATTTGATTTAAAAAAATTAGTTCTTCGCGTTTGCATAACATCGTCGAATGAGTACACTATTCAACGATAATACATTCAGGTATTAAAGTAACATTTTGTAGTTTATATAAATTGAATTTTCGAAAAATGAATTCGAACGATAACCGGATGTAACACCAAAAAAATCAAAAGGCAAGGATCGGAAATATTACTATTAGTCTACAACATAATCGTCCTAGTACAGTTATGACTCACCTATACCAGTCAATTTCTGTGACTGTAAGGTTTACTACACTGAAACCGGTCAATTATTTTTTCATAAATACAATAGAGAACAAGGGCTTTAACCAACGTTAAAAAGAGAAATTTTAAAGGTCTATTAAAACACTCGTTTTTGTGCTTTAACGAAAATATAGAAGATAAGATTTCCATTGGCAAATTACGTTAAAGTAACAATTTTTTTGTACAATTTCAAAATTCTTCCAGTACTTATAGAAAGAAGTGTTTTGATTCGCTCCTAAGTTCTAGAAAATTCTATAAAAATATAAAATAAACAAACATCCACTTCCGCTTAATTAAGCACGAACTGATCCAAACTGTTGCTCGTCGCGTGTTTCCATTAACGAACTTTTCCTAATAAAAGAACATCTTAGTTTAGTATTAATCACATTTCTGCAACTAACTCGTGTCATGAAAAATTCCTTTTTAATTCACCTCAGCGTAACGACCTGGAAACTTCTGCCCATTTTTATCTTTTCTTAATAAATAAAGCTGTCACATCACGCTCTTGTGTGAAATATGATCATTTAAAAATTGTGTTTCGTGGAAAAAGAACCATTTTATTCCATCCGTGTCCTACAAACTCACAAGTCCATAAAGTCCAAGCCCGACAAGAAATAATAAAAGCACAATCGGCGTAATTTATACCTCGCGTTTAATGATCGCAGCTTAAAATACACTACTATACTATTTATATTTTTGTGTATTTGTACAGTGTTTTTCTTTTGGTTTTCTTCTTTTATCAAATGTTTTTTTCTTTCTCAAAACTATTTCCTACCTACGTCGCTTTGACATTAATAGGGTAAACCAGGGTGATATGGTGAATCGGGGGAAAGGGTGACTTACTCTATTTTTTTTTCTGGCAGAAAGATGTTTCTGTAATTCTGTATAACAGTTGTTTATGATCATTTGTGCAGCGAACACCTATTGAAAACCAGTCCCGTTTTGAAAAGAGTAAGTAATTTTTACAAAACTGTTTCCGATGCTCAATTTTTATACGGTGCAGGCGTTTGTAGATGTTGCTTCAGGTAGCCTAGTCCCCGAGGTATTTTTTGATATGTTCTGCCTTTTTAGACTGTTTATAAGCTAGGCATCGTTGCCTCTAGTATTTTGAACTGCTTGCCGCACTATTCACCTTTTCACCCCTGGCCAATGGGAGAAATGGTGAACTCGGGCATGGGTGATACGGTGAACGACTTTTCTTATACCAGGTGAATAAAAAGTATGGAACCAAGCGTTTTTTCGTAAACTAGGCACTTTACGAAAAAAATAATTAGTGTAGCGTACAGTGCAATTAAAATGTGACCATTTATCAAGAATAACATTTTTCGAAATTTCTTTTAGTTTTCGAGTTCTAGAATTTTTTTTTTTTTTAAATGGCAACCCACCATGGTAATTTTTTAATTAAAGATTATAATCTAAAAGTGACCTCTAATTAAACAGAAATGTTTTTTAGTCAGTACTTTTTTTTAGTAAATTGTTAAAGTGTCGTTCCGAGCCCATCACGAAGATTTTCCGAACTTGAACGAAAGAGTCGTTACATGACTTTGGTCGTTGGAGAGCCCGTTTTTATGTGCAGGTGCTTTGGGATGGTTCCAGATGGATAAAAAAATGTAATAACAAATCATTTTCTTCTATTTTTAGTCCATTCGAAACCACCCCAAAGCACCAACTTTAACAATTAATTAAAAAAAAAGTACTGGCTAAAAAACAATTTTATTTAATTAGAGGTCATTTTTAGATCATAATCTTTGATTAAAAAAATTACCATGGAAGGGTTGCCATTAAAAAAAAAAATTTCCAGACCCCGAAAACTAAAAGAAATTTCGAAAAATGTTATTTTTGATAAATGGTCACATTTTAATTCTACTTTACGCTACACTAATTATTTTTTTCGTAAAGTGCTTAGTTTACGAAAAAAACGCTTGGTTCCATACTTTTTATTCACCTGGTATGTACTCGTATTTCTCGACCTAAGTAAAAGTTTTAACTATATCAGCATTGCTCCAGCCAAAAATGCCTACATTTTATAAAACTTTATAAATTTCTTATAAATTTTATATTTTATGAAATTTATATGAAATAGCACTAAAAAGGAAGTGGATTGGATAAAATGTATTAGATGCCAACTTTGGTTGCACAAAGACTGTACAAAATATGAGTCAATGTGTGATATTTGGGGTAAAAAGCAGAAAAAGTAAGTTTTTTACTTTGATAAAAAACAAAAAAATTTTTTCAAATTGTTGTTATGTCTCTAAGAGGTCATGACTTTGTTAAGTTGTTACCTATGTATTTCATGAAAGAATAGTATTTTTATTTTGTTTAAATAAACAATTTCTTGTGTTCTATAGGGCTCAATTTTTTTGTTCATCATATCACTCTGGTTAAACTTATATCAAATGAAATAGTTTTGATAAATAGTGAATTACATTTGACAAAAGAGGAAAACCAAAAGAAAAACACTGTATTGTAATTGTACTGTACAACGCCAACGATTGTTTAGTTTGTTCTGAAAGTGTTTTTGGGTAGGCATGTCACGTGTGAGCAAGACAAGAATCCAAGAATCTCTCAAAGATAAAAGGGTTGCGGCATTGCCACCTACGTAAGCCTTTCGGAGACGTTCC